GAGCGAGTTTGAGTTTCTTGGCGAGCACAGACGATCTTCTATCTGGATGTATTTGCTGTTATTGTAGTATCGTTCTAATTCAATCAGTTGTGAGTTTGTGAAGGAAGTTCTGGCTCTCTTTGTTGGTTGTTCTGACTTTGCTGAGTCGTCGGAGCAGGAACCAGGTGAAGTACAATCTCTTTATGTAGAGTCTGTAGAGCTGAAACTGTTGTCTTTAGAATGTAACGAGTCATCTAGACGTTTTCTTTTGTGTTGAGTATCCTGAGCTGAGTTAGTAAGCCGCGAAAGCATCATACATGCATCTGTTGTATATGACTGGCTGCTGTTTGGTAGATATATGTCATGGATATGGTTGACAACTGCGTCAGTAGGGATGGGATCTGGCACTCTGCTGCTTTTTGACAGTTCTTCAATGCTGAAGGACATCTTGGTTAGTGCGTTATGTCTATAAGCCATTTGTGTATATTTGTAGTTAACCGTTTGACAATGAGCTTCATTTGTCATGTTGCCTGTTTTATACTCTCTCAAGTTGATTACTCATAAACGAGTTATAACAGTTCTTATCAAAACAATTCAGTGGCAAGCTTCTGGAATCAGTTACTGTCATCGAAAAGCAACCAACGCTTTACTGATTAATATCTATTCAATGACATTTAACAATTCCAACCGTAGTTGTTCAATCAGAGACATGCATTAATTAATTATGTCAAACAATTAAATGATTTGAAATCATTCTATTTGATAGGTCATTATATCACCCAAGCCAATATTGTGATTTATAAGTATTTACTAGTCAAGTTTGTATAGTCATAATAGCGTTTACAAATAAATTTTTTCCCTTTTATTAATAGTACTTCGACAATTTGATATGTTTCTAAAATTTCTAATTTATTTATTTTTTTGGGGGGGGGGGGGGGTTGGTTGGTTGGTTGGTTGGTTGGAAGGGGGGGGTATCATGAAAGTCTTTACACTTCCGGACTTAACTAGGGGCATGTTTACTGTCTGACTGATCCCCCGGTAACACGATTTCCCCAGAACTTCCAAGAACTGTATATTGAATATTGACCCGAGAGCCGATAATTTTACCAAAACCTTTGTTCTATATGGTGTTTTATTGTTTTCATAGATATTAAAGTATATAATTTTAAGATACCAGTCGTTTTTACACAATCAAAGGAACTGAAACCATGTCAAAGGTATGACATAAACAGAAAGAAAACCAAATACCAAAAAACCGAAAACGTCCAATGAACACAAACGTCCATACTCCAATCAAGAAACCTCTTGTGATACAACAGGCGTATTAGAATCATCCGATTATTCAACCGCCTCCAATCTTAACATCTCACCAGAGCCATTATCTAAACCAGCACTATCTCCTCAATATACCACCAAGAAATCCTCAAATGATAGCACCAATCCAACATGTGCCTCAACATTTATATCCACTCCAACCAAACCAACATCTGCCTCCAATGATGCGAATGAACAGTCAGATCAATCAAACTCGACGAAACTAACTTGTGATATTCATGATTTAAAGTGCCACAACATAAAGCCAATTACTATTTTATCTTTTAATATTGAAGGATTCACATCAAACAAACTATATTTGGAAAATCTGTCTAAACGAGCTGACATTATTTTTATGCAAGAGCACTGGGTACATAGCTGGGAAAAGAATAAAATCGAAGACTTTATAGATAATTCAAACTTTATAAGTCACATAAAATGCTATGATGATGAAATCATTTTGGACTCAGTTGAACGTAAACGGGGACATGCTGGAGTAGCCATTTGCTACAATAAAGATATTGCGAACTGTGTTAAAAATTAACTGATGGTGGAAATAGAGTAATAGCTATTCGAATAAACTCCGCAAAGCCTGTCATATTAATCTGTGTCTATTTGCCAACCCGTGGAAATAAGATTACGAGAGATGACTACATAGCTGTACTTGAAATTATTTTAAAATATAGACAATCATCCGATATATTGATTGGAGGAGATGTAAATGCGTCTTTACATCGTAATTCTACAAAATTTAATGTAAGAGATAATGACTTTAAAAATGTTCTACTTGAAAATAAATTGAAAATACCAACTATGTGTCCTGTACAAAATACTTTTTATCATTTTAACAATAGGGATGAATCCCAAATTGACTATTTTATTGAAAACAAGGAGATTGTGGAACTTTATATAACATTTCAGAGAGAATCTCTTAATACATCCTGCCATGACCCTGTAATGGTACTAATTCATAGAGATGTGCAGGCTGATAAGACACTTAATGAAAAAGTACATGTTCATAGATTTAAATGGAACAAAATGGATACATCCGAGTACGAAAAATTGGTTGACATCGAGATGAAAAAGAGGATAAATGAATCTGAGACTTTAACAGTGGGTAATTTAAACTCATTTATATCATCTATATGTAATGCAATGGTTTCAACAGCTGAAAAACTGCAGCCAAGGAAAAAGAACACTTTTAAAAGGAAACGTGATTGGACTCCTCAAATGTCAAATCTTGCTAAAGAGGCAAATTTCTTTCATTGGAAATGGAAAATAGAGGGTAATAAAAATAGGAATAGTGAAAATTATAGAAAAATGAGAGCAATAAAGAAAAACCTTTGTTCTGTCCAGAGAAAGCATGAAGCAAATAAGCGTCAAAATAAAATGTCAGAAATAATGACACTAAGTGAAACAAATGATAAACAATTTTACACTTAGGTAAAACATCAAAGAAGACAAACGTCCTCGTCTACCTCAATTTTAAAATATAATGACAATGTTGTAGATTGTGATGAAGATATTTCAGAAACATGGGCTGATTATTTCGAAGATCTTGCTACCCCAGTTAACAACCCATGTTTTGATAATGAATATAAGACCCGTGTTGAAAATGACAATAGTTTATTGCATGAAATGTATTTTACAAAGAGACCCACTACAGATGGTAAATGAATATGAAGTAATGGACTGCATATTTTCATTTAAAAATGGAAAGGCTCCCGATGAGACAAGAGTTACAAGCGAGCACCTTAAATATGAAGGTCAAAATCTTATATCCATGCTCACAATCCTTGTAAATTTTATATTTCATAATATACATATTCCAACTTTTCTCAAGAACGGCATAGCCTGTCCGATTTTTAAAAATGGTGGTAAACCAATAGGCAATCCTAACTCTTACAGAAAAATCACCGTAACCAATCCTATAGGAAAAATGATAGAAAAACTACATTTATCTAGAAACAGCAAAAATATTAGTAAAATCCAAAGTATTTTACAAAAAGCATTTACCGAAAGGAGAGTGTCCTCTGATAGCTGGATTGATTTTGACATAACTATTTATTGAGGCTATAGAAAACAACAGAAACATATATGTTTTGCATTAACAGATGAACAAAAAGCATTCGATATATTTTGGCATGACGGAATGTTTAGAGAAATGTTTAAATGCAATATAGTGGGTGTTAACTGGCTCCTATTTAAAAAATGGTACAACAACGTACAAACAAAAATCAAGTGGAAAGGACAATTTTCACGTACTTTCCCAGAACTGCAGGGTATGAGACAAGGAGGTGTATGATCCCCTACTGCATAAAAAATATCTCAAATCTTTATTAAAAAATTATGAAACTGAACAGCTTGGTGCACGTATAGGCTCAGTTTACTGTGGAGTTCCAACGGTAGCTGATGATGTGACCCTAATCTCAAATGACCTGTTCGAATTACAATCTATGCTCGATAATCAGATGTGTCATGCAAATAAACAAAGATACATTATTAGTATTCAAAAATAATGCGTTCTCCAAAGTAAAAGCAACGGAACTCATAGTTGGAACATTAACGGTCAAGCTCTAAAAACTAACACTGCAACTCATTTAGGAATTACGCGGGATAATGGATAAAAAACTGGCACAAAAGAAGTTGTACCCGACAGAATACAAACTGCACGTAAAACTGTCTATGCTCTAACGGGTGCAGGCCTCCATGGCCTTAATGGTATAAATCCAAAAGTGTCTCTCCATCTTATTAACTGCTATGTTATCCCAAGATTGTTGTATGGATTGGATGTGATATGTTTGTCAAAGGTATGACAAAAACAGAAAGTATGGCATTAAAGAAACCGAAAACGTGGCACATAAACAGAAAGTATTGCATCAAAGAAAACGAAAACATGTCAAAGGTATGATATAAACAGAAAGTATGGCATCAAAGAAACCGAAAACGTGTCGAAGGTATGACATAAACTGAAAGTATGGCATGAAAGGAACCGAAAACGTATTAAAGGTGTAACATAAACAGAAAGTATGGTCTCAAAGAAATCGAAAATATGTTGAAGGTGTGACATACACAGAAAGTATGGCATCAAAGAAACCGAAAATGTATTAAAGGTGTGACACAAACAGAAAGTATGGCATCAAAGGAACGAAACGTATTAAAGGTGTGAGATAAACAGAAAGTGTGGCATCAAAGGAACCGAAAACGTATTAAAGGTGTGAGATAAACAGAAAGTATGGCATCAAAGGAACGAAAACGTATTAAAGGTGTGAGATAAACAGAAAGTATGGCATCAAAGGAACCGAAAACGTATTAAAGGTGTGACATAAACAGAAAGTATGGCATCAAAGGAACCAAAAATGTATTTAAGGTGTGAGATAAACAGAAAGTATGGCATCATAGGAACCAAAAACGTGTCCAATTAATTTCTGCAATGAAGGTAGTGTTTTTTTGCAATTTCCTTTCATTTCTTGACCTTTTCATGTCTACTTGGTATCTTCCCCTTTTTTCCTAAATAACACTACAAAGAAAACTAAAGATTGAACAACAACAACTCCATCAAATACCATGGCATAAAAACCAAAATATAACAGTCTTAGCTAGCTAACTTTGCCTGAGCTAGGTGAAAAATTTTGAAAATTTATTTGTGAAGAAATATGCCATTCAAAATTTTGGGAAACCACTATCATTGTACGACTCAATAACAATTTCCTATCATTATATTTATTGATAAAGTTGGATATACTGTATAGATAACAATAATAATCATGTACATTATGTAACAATAACAATCATTATAAAAAATGCTGATACTTTGTGATTGTATATTTCACATTCTAAGCAGTGACATTTAGCTTTGGTAACTATAAGAAATGCAAAGATTTAATGATCTTCAATTGCATTCACCCCTTTGCAGATTTGTTTTAGGTTTGAACTGTTGGTTTCAGTTTCATTTAATCTACATCTCCTTTTATTCACATGAAACATCCATATTTGTCTGTATTTGCATTTTGATGGTTCTAAAAATGAATCAAATACTCATATGGCTGGGTTGCACAGAATGTTTCTTTAACAATGGAGAATTGTCTACACTGATGAACATTTAAATATACGGAAATATAAATTTTAAAAATGGGGAAAAATCTTTAAACAGTTCTTTATCATGTATATGATGGAAGGCACACAACCGTATATTGAGGGATTGAAAACTTTCTGTGAAATTTCAAAGATCTGGATTGGAAAAAAAAAAGGAGCTAACTTTGTTGACAAAATAAAAATTGTAAACTAAAATATTAGAAACCTTAACTTTTTCCAATACAAAAAGTCTTTGATTTCAATTAAGGCACTTGCAATGGACAAAAGAAAAAAAAAAAAATTTGAGCAACTATATATATAAAACACCTGAGGCTAAACATGTATTTTCTTTTGAAAAAATATTTTCTTTTGGATTTCATATTTCCTGTATAAAAAGTGTGCACATGCTAAATTGTCTCGCCTGCTTTACTGATCAGGATTGAATTTATATTGAAAGTCTTTAAAAATAATTGGTTTTACTACAAATATCATATAAACTTAACATTATCAATTATCCATGAAAATGAGGTCACAGTAAAAAAAAATCCATACCAGACAGACATGTCCACCTAATAATCTTTCCATTCGCCAAATATAGTTAGTTGACCTATAGTATCTGAGAAACAGATGTAATCACAAAATCTTAATATTGACCTAAGAACCATGAAAATGAGGTCAAGGTTAAATGAAGTTCCCAGATGGACATGTTCAACTTACAATTGTTTAATACACATTAATATACTAAATATAATAGACAACTTTTGAGTTCGATGCATTTCCGTCAAAAACTTTGGTTTTAGTGAACATCATTCGTGCGTTTAGGGGCGTCGTCACTTCCGTTCCAATGTTGAGCGAGTGGTTGGAAAATTATAATGCTATATTGTACGAAATATTCGGCAAATTGAATTCTCATAATTGACAATCAGAACTGCTGTCATTAGGGCATTGCGATTAAGTACCTACTTAACAACAATTATTTCTAGTTTATCCTGCACAATGACGATCACGATCATGATGAACGTTAATAGTGCAGGGATACAGGTGATCCCCTCTATCTGGTAAATGACGTCATAAAGGCGCGCATAATTGATGAGTTTTTTCCGGTGAAGGACAAACTCGAAAGTGGTCTATTGACATATTGCTTATAGTATATGAGAAACAGACCTAACCACCAAAAAATAACATTGACCAATGAACCATGAAAAGGTCAAAGTCAGATTATACAAAATTAAGTATTCACGATCCTTAAATAAATGAAAAAAAACATGCTATTTTTTTTAACCTCAACCTTTTTTCTCAGATGCTATGCCATTGATATAATTTAATCAACCTAGTGTAACTAAATATATTACTGGTTATATTTTGAAAAGAAAAAAACATATCAATGTATAAATGTATCATAATAAAATACTTATTTAAAGTTTCATGATAAAATACATAATTTTATTTAACTGTAAACTATATGCAACAAAAAATAGTCTAACAAAATGTATATCCATTAAATACTGAAATGGGGAAGAGCATTATTTTGAAGCAAATTCTTTCCTTCAATCTCAATTGAATTTTAATTTCAGACTTTTGAGACAATATCCACAACATAAAAGACTGCATAAAACATTCAGAGTTGTGAAAAGTCACACTATGAAACTAACTGTGTTATGAGTATATGAACTTTCATAACACACATCTTCTCTTGTTTTAATAAATGTATATTGTTTGGTTGTTGTCTTGCTGACATATATTTAACATTTCCTTTTTCTTCACATCTAAATCATCACCCTGCCCATCTGTTAAATATGGGTGCAGTCTGATAAGTAAACGGTAAAGATAATAAATATTGTAAAATTATTAAAAATTCACAAGATATTTTAACATGCAGTGTAAATTATGTTATGGGAAGATCACCAATTGACTAAGTTTCAACCCATGATTAATGGTAAACATTCAATCCTCATTCAAGTGAAATCATTTAAATCAATGGAAAGCAGTCATACCATGTATTATTAAAATCAATCAAAAAAGTAAAATTGATTAGCTGGACAGGTTTTGTGACAGAGGCATGAAAGTTAGGATAGGCAAACAACCTTGTAAATATTAATTACTTTTGGATAGCATTCAAAAATGAAATTGTACTATCAGGACATTAGAATATAAAAATACTGATTAACACCCTAAAAGGATATAAAAAAAGCTCAACAATACTACAAAAACAACCTTTGGTTTCAGTGAATATCAGTTTTTCAAAAGTCAATTTCACCAAATATTAACCTCATTAAAAGAGGTATTATGGGGATGACAAGGCTGGTTTTGAAATTCTACGTTTTTTTGTTGAAACCAGTTGTTAACAAATATATTTATCAATTTAAGGCATATGTAATATAAAAATACACAATATCATTTTGCAATTCAAATTACAATGTACAGCTATTTGTTGAATATTAGCCTTTTTTATTAATTGAAACCGTGCCATTTAATTCTGTAAATCAGGACATTGAAAATATGTACATTGATTCAAACAAAAAATTAATAAATCATCTTTTCATAGTTCAAATTAAATACAAACATCAGAGGACAACTGTAACTTGAAATGAAAGGGTTACATCCTCTCTTAAAATTCATTATAAAAAAAAACAAAATAAATAGCAGCTTGCTTAATTTTTAAACTTTTCAATTGATAATACATTTTATCACTATTTTCTTTAATTTTGCTTTGATCTTTTTGTTTGATAATTTTCCATATCAAACTTCACGACTGGGAATGACTTCACGACTGGGAATGACTTCACGACTGGGAATGGTATTTCTAGGTCAGGAAGAGTTGGAACATGATGATGTCCTTTGATGAGATTGTAACCTAGAAACTCCCTCTCATTTTCAAAACCTTAGATAACATATAAATACCATATTTGTTTAGGATAGGTATCATAGGTCATTCATTTATTAAATGTAGGTGAGAAAAGAAAACAAATAAACCATATATTGACCTCTAGATGTCTTCTGGTTTTTGTGTCATAAGGTTGCTATCTCATTGAAGTATATCCTACATTTTCTTTAATAGCAATCATAGGTTTACAAATCCACTGTCTAAACATTGAATTAATAGGGCTGTAAAAAAGCTTTTTTTTTTGCAATCCTAACATATATGAATAGCTGTAGCTCTTCCACAGCGGTTTGGTAAATTTCCTATCTAATTAAAACTTTAACAAAGTGAGAAAATAAAGATTTCCTTGTAAACTCCTTACTAACTTACAAATAAACAGATTCTAAGGTAAATAAAACCATCCAAGTGATAATACTATTTAAACAGTCTCCTCAGATTGTCAAAATTGTTTTCCTTACTTTACTGTCCAAACACAGAATCATGACTTGCATGAGAATGAAATGTGTTGATGCTTATTCAGAAATGTATAAAAAATCATTGCAAAATTATAAGTGTTTCCTTCGACACTACCCTCATGGGAAAGCAACAAAAATTATCTGAATACTGCTGTAAATGAAAATGTCTACATCTTACAGAATAAGATACAAAAAAATAGACATAAATAATCACAGTAAAAAATCTAATCTATTTCAAACACAATATTCACCCGTGTACTTAGTTTTTTCTATTTTTGAAATAGTGCTTGGATTTCATGAAGTAACAACTTTCTTTTGTATGATATTAACACTTGAATGGATAGCAAAACTGTATTTTGTGTTGTCTTTCAACTGACAAATTTTCATATGTCTTTTCACACCAGTGTTTTATTCTTTTTGTTTTTTATTTCAAAATAGCACTGGCCTTAAATATGAAAATAAAGAAAAATGATAATTTTGAACCTATGAATACATGCATGTATGAAGCATACAAAGAGTGGGTCGTATCTATTCTGATATTTGCCACAAGGGTTTTGAAATTTCCTGAATATGGCAAAAAAAAAAACACAATATCAAAAGCTTAAGTTTTTTTAGCAATAAAAAGTAAATTTTGTTAGTGCAATTCCACATGTAAAATTGTGGTTTAAAAACAGATGACCAGCATTAAAAAAAATGTGTTTCACATTTTGTAAAAACTCTCCTTTCATATATACTGTGAAAAATTGTTATGGAAACTGTCAATAATGAACCTTAAAGATTTAAGACTTATATTTAATTCTGTTTAATTTCTCTGAAAATTGCTTAAACAATCTATTTTTTGGCGAAAAAGGTTAATCAAGCATCTGTTAGGGATGGAGTTTATATAATGATATCAATTGTTTAGATTACTGTGAATCAACATAATTACTTTAGCATAATAATATCTACTGGCCTTTTTATTCTAATCCAAAATATTGATGCTTTTTCTTCTACAATTAAAATTCTTTAATTTATACCAACTAAAAAAAAATGTTTTTAAATCCCAGAAGAAATATATCTTAAAAAGATATAACATAATTTTCATTTGGCTCAGTTTGCACAAACACTTCTATTGAAAAATAGAAGAAATTCATCCAAATTTGGTAATAATCTTAAAACCATATAAATCTTGCATAGTTCATATTCTCTGTGAAATTATATTTTTTTTTAACAACCATCTGTATCTTCTGTGCTATCACATATTTTTTACTTCCCTCCTGAGAATTTTACCACTGGCAGTTTTTGGTATACTATCAATAAGCTTAACACCGCCTCTTAACTTCTTGTATGGTGCCACATTTGCTGTAATAAATAAAAAAAAAATAAATATGCATTCTATATGTAAATTTGTCATTTCCTTTTTTATGGCCCTAGATATATTTCTTTTTGCGTGGCTTGTATCTGTTTATACAATCCATAACCTACTGGGACGATTCAGAGCTTGACATTGTATAGAAACCTATCTATTCTTGATAACTTTATGTTCATCTCTAGATGTCTGTTTGTTCTTTTATGATGTTCAGTTGCTGTTTCATTGACATATTCCTCGCATCTCCTTTATTTATATAATATTGTACCATAAAAACATTGAAATGAAAATAAACTAAAACAATTTACCACTCATTTTTTTTAGTTCAAAGGGAAATAAAAAAAAAACTGAACCATATGTAAATGTTGATATCATGTTCTAACAGAGTGTCAGCTCTCATTTAATCTTGAAAAGCATGTAGGAGTTCCTGACAGAATCTAATAATTTTTTGTTTGTATGTTCAAAGGGGCATTAATAATTTTTTGTTTGTATGTTCAAAGGGGCATAACTAGAAAAGTTCAAATTCTTAATCAGCAAATTCCTGATCATATATCAAGATCTTATAATGACAAGAATTTCATTACGTAATGTATGCAAGAATGCAAGAGTTCTAATGAGTTAGTCTACCTTATAGTGAAAAATTTTCAAAATCAAAAGTTGAATTACTTAATTAAGATCAACAGAGTAAAACATTTTTTTATCATCCAACTTATATGAGGGTCAAAGCTTAAGTCATGGATTTCTGAAGTGATAATGTCAATCGACTTATACATGTTATAAGAGGATCAGCTTTTGCTTGAGTAACAATGGTACATGCATCTCATCATACTAATGTCATGTAATTCCTGCAAAATATATGGGAGGAGACAAAGTCAGACATAGGTGGTTTTTATTTTTGAATTGTTTCCCATTTTGTCTTATAGCTAACTATAGAATATGAATTTTGGTCATTTGTTGAAGTCTAAACAGTTACCTATAGTTGCTTAAATCCATGTCATTTGGATTCTGATGGATAGTTTTCTCGTAGGCAATAGTACCATATCTCCTTATCTTAAATCAGTCTTAGTCTGGTCAGACAAATGAATGTATAGACTGATTCCTTTATCCCTCAAACTTTTAATGAAGGTTAGAAAATCTAATAAAGTTATACTCATATTGATACTTGAATCTTACCATCTACAAAGTTGGTAATATCCTCCTCAGTCAATGTTATCCCAGGTTTAGGTACAACATAGGCCTTGGGTACCTCCCCAACATCTTCACCAGCCTGGATACCTATCACTGCTACATCAGCTACAGCAGGGTGGGTACAAATTAACGCTTCTAGTTCTGCAGGGGCGACCTACAATACATGGATCTCAAAAGTAAAAAAATATGAGAAGGGAAGGAAAAGTATTTCTTTTTTTATTAAATTTGTTCTATTTTTTTTTCTTTTGGATAGATTTTAATGAAAATGCTATCAAGGAAGCATGTTATTATTACTATATTATGATAAAACTAAGATACTGGCTTGACGCTCCAATTGAAAAATAACTTAGTTGGAGATAATGAGGTACTGTTTATACTTAAATCAAAGTGACAATATATGTTTGTACTTTTTCTAATAAAAGTACTATTTCTCCTTGGTGCTAATAACAACTAACGTCACAGTTTCAGTATTTATAAACAAGGTGTGAATTTATCAAAGGTTGGTCTGTAAATTCAACACACCTGTTGTGCTTTACCTGAAATAATTTATATCTAATTAGCTCCTAAGTCTATATGTTACTTCAGGAAATGAAAAATTTCATTTTTGTAACATAGATATTGAAATGGTTACAGACTATAAATATCTTGGTGCATGTTTTGCTAGAATTTGATCCTTTTTAACAACTAGAAAATATTTAAGTGGTCAGAGAACAACAGCAATGTTCAGTTTATTAAAGAAATAATATATCAATTGAACGTCATGTTTTAGAAAGCCATTTTACCAGTTTTACTTCAGATGGTTTAGGTTATGAAAATCTGGATATTTTAGAAAAAGTACAATTGCGCTTTTCCAGATCATATTAAACCAAAAGGCAAAAACAGCCAACACCAAATAGCACTATTTATGAGGAACTCACAGCCAAAATGTGAATGATAAAGTTCTTGTGCAGATTAATAAATGAATGATGAATAGAAAACGTTCTCTTCAACACTTTACAAATTGTTGTTTGTATATTTTAATAACTATGGCTTTGAAATCAAATGGTTAAAATTTGTTAAAGGTATTTTTGATACTTGTTGTCTGTCAAATGTAAGGCAATCCTAGGATTATTACATAGAAAACTGTGTAGAATTAAGACTTAAAGACCAATTTAAGCAAAAATGGTTGACTGGCATTCTTAATTCAAATAAAACAAAATGTTTAAGAATGAGTTCTGTTTTGAGTGTTATTATAGATACTACCCTCATATCTAATGTATTTTTTATGTAAATTTAGATGTGGCTGTCATTGCTTGCTCATTGAATTAGACAGATGGCATAAAATACGTAGAAACGAAATAATCTGTAATCTATGTGACTCAAATGAAATAGGCAATGAGTACCATTACATTCTAGTTTGTAACTTTTTTAGTTTTGAAAGGAAAAAAAAATATTACCACAATAGTGTAAAAAAAATGCAAGTACTGTAAATTCCCATCAAATGATAGTGTTGTTATTGAAAAAGTTGTATTATGTATTATTGAAATTTATCCATCCTGGTTTGATCAAATTGTGTCAAATATACAGAATTAAATGTACTTTCTTTATTCTAAAATGAACTGTTTTCATGTGTTTAAGATGCATTATTTTTGTATTATAATTAAAGAACCTTAGTGAGCGCGCTCACATACCCCACGTCCCCACATTGTCATTGGAGAAATAAAATAAGTGTAAGAAAAAAAAATTGTATCAGAAAAAAAAAATTGAATCATAATTTCCTGTCAATATACACATCTACATAGTATGTCCTTATTATCTACACAGTTTCATGAAATTCTGTTGTGTGGTTTGAGAGGAGTTGAGATGACAACTTTATCCGTCACATTATGTTTAAGAGAATAAAATATTTGTTATTGTATACCTGAAATCCTTTATATTTGATCAGCTCCTTTAGTCTATCTGTTATCATAAAATATCCTTCTTCATCAAAATGTCCAATGTCCCCTAAAGAAATATATAATATTTACAATTATAAAACTTTCAAAAATCATCAGGAAAGGTCAATTATAGTATACTACGTGTACAAATGAAAAAACTTTAATTTCCACCTTTAATATTAAGATGCAGACTTTACATCTCCTTAGAGTTCTATCTTTCGTAAAAGTATAATCCAAGAAAGCAGCCATCTTACATTGCAGATCAGCATCTATCTTACATGTTTAATTTAGGACTGTTAGCTGATTCTGATTACAAATACCCCAAACGAATTCAGTAAGGCAGAAGTTTCAACCAAGCAGTACAAAAATAAGGAGCTATGGTATGATTGCCATTGACACAACTATCCTCCAGAGATCAAAGTACGAGGAGTTTTACATCTATAGGTTACCATCACCCTTAAACAATGAGCAAAAGCCATTTAGGATATCAGTGACATAAGTGCAAAGTTTTCTAACAGAACCAGCTTTGTAGCTAGGACCGGTCAAAAGTAATTACTGACCCTTAAAATCAGACTTACAGGATGTTTACTAATGCCATCTTCACTTTTAAGTATTTTTTTTCAACCCTCTGCAGGATTTTTCCTAAGTGATACATTAAATACATTTGGCCAGTAACCCATATATATTAAAAAAAATTTAAAGCATAAATCTCATATACATGTACACCTCCGACAAAGCATTAAAAAAATAACTGATATATGTTTTCTAAAAAATCATATGAAAACAGTTAATTTTTGTCCTCAAATTACACAGATCGTAGCTTTATTATACCGGTACTTCTTTTAATTGCTCTTACTTGACTGAGTACCAGAATGTTTTTACCACAAAGTGGGTAACCTGTCAAAAGATTTAAACTGCGGTGTCAAAAGTCGGTAACATGAAAAAAGTCTACTGATCATAAAGTTTAACATATCTTTACTATATATTCTATACTTCTGATGCCTTGCAAATAAAGAGTTCACTAATAATAAATCTGAATTTCAGTGGCAAATATCCTCAATCTTATATGTGAACTAAATCAAAGTCTTTCCAGAACATTCTAGCCAAAATGGTCTCTTTAGTCCTGTGGTTTTGAAAATGCTTTTGCATTCTAAAAGTCAACAGGCTTAATGCATTAATATTTTATCATTTATTCTATGTTATATAAAATGTCGGACTAACCACTATGTAGCCATCCATCTTTAACCATGTCATCTGTAGCAGATTGGTTTTTCAGGTAACCTAACATCACTTGCGGTCCTGCTAAGAGAACCATGGCATGATATAAAATGTCTGACTTACCACTATGTAGCCATCCATCTTTAAACATGTCATCTGTAGCAGATTGGTTTTTCAGGTAACCTAACATCACTTGCGGTCCTGCTAAGAGAACCATGGCATGATATAAAATGTCTGACTTACCACTATGTAGCCATCCATCTTTAACCATGTCATCTGTAGCAGATTGGTTTTTCAGGTAACCTAACATCACTTGCGGTCCTGCTAAGAGAACCATGGCATGATATAAAATGTCTGACTTACCACTATGTAGCCATCCATCTTTAACCATGTCATCTGTAGCAGATTGGTTTTTCAGGTAACCTAACATCACTTGCGGTCCTGCTAAGAGAACCATGGCATGATATAAAATGTCTGACTTACCACTATGTAGCCATCCATCTTTAACCATGTCATCTGTAGCAGATTGGTTTTTCAGGTAACCTAACATCACTTGCGGTCCTGCTAAGAGAGCCATGGCATGATATAAAATGTCTGACTTACCACTATGTAGCCATCCATCTTTAACCATGTCATCTGTAGCAGATTGGTTTTTCAGGTAACCTAACATCACTTGCGGTCCTGCTAAGTGAACCATGGCATGATATAAAATGTCTGACTTACCACTATGTAGCCATCCATCTTTAACCATGTCATCTGTAGCAGATTGGTTATTCAGGTAACCTAACATCACTTGTGGTCCTGCTAAGAGAACCATGGCATGATATAAAATGTCTGACTTACCACTATGTAGCCATCCATCTTTAACCATGTCATCTGTAGCAGATTGGTTTTTCAGGTAACCTAACATCACTTGCGGTCCTGCTAAGACAACCCGATGATGGCATGATATAAAATGTCTGACTTACCACTATGTAGCCATCCATCTTTAACCATGTCATCTGTAGCAGACTGGTTGTTTAGGTAACCTAACATCACTTGTGGTCCTGCTAGGAGAACCATGGCATGATATAAAATGTCTGACTTACCACTATGTAGCCATCCATCTTTAACCATGTCATCTGTAGCAGATTGGTTTTTCAGGTAACCTAACATCACTTGTGGTCCTGCTAGGAGAACCTCCCCAGTCTCTCCTGGTCCCAAAGTCTTACCAGTTTGGACATCTATAACCTATCAGTAAATAATGTATACTTGTTAATAAAAAGCTACATATAGGAAAACAAAAATATAAACAAATGAATAAATTATACAAGTCTGTATTAATTTACATAAATATACATTTTAAGGAAGAAAATACACCAAAAACTTATGACTTCCTTGTTTTCTTCTGGCAACAATACACTGTTAAGATAAAAATGTTAAGGTTTTCTTTATTTTGAGTTTGAAAAATTATCTTTTACTTAATTTTTCACTTCAATAGTTTAAAGAAAGAAAACTTTTTTATCAATATTTTTTTATGCACAGGTTTGTAAAGAAAAATCCAACAGTTAAGCTGATGTCTGGTATTAAAACACAATTTAAAATAATTAAACTAAAGTTCTTTTAACTAACACTTTTTTTGGATGACATTAACTGACTGTCAAATAAAATTGAGAATGGAAACTGGGAATGTGTCAAAGAGACAACAACCCGACCAAAGAGCAGAAAACAGCTCAAGGCCACCAATGGGTCTTCAACAGCGAAAAAATCCCAGTCAAAGGCAGGCTTCAGCTGTCCCCTAAACAACAATGTATACTAGTTCAGCATATTTTGTTTAAATTCTAAAATTCAAAGTTCATTCTTAATATATTTTTTTCTTTCTTTTCCCCAATTCTATGCACTATTTATGTCGCAAAAAGCAATTTATCTTTCAAAGAGGATCTTGGCATGTTTCCTTTTTGTTTACAGTGAATTGTAGAAGTAAGTCAATTCAACTTGGTCAATATCATTAAGAAAACTTTCTGAGGATTTTACGTTGATCTTTTTTCATACATCATTTTTTCACATGTTATATTCTGTAAAGTTTCATACTTTGAAATAGATTTAATAGCTAAGTTATAAATTAAAGGCTTTTTATACTATTCTGTCATTAATTAATAAAGAACTTTATAATTCAGCTTTATTTCTAAAATATCACAATAATACAATGTATATTGTTTTAATGAGATTCAGATATATTGGTACAAAAATGTAGTGATATGAGAAAAAAAGAAATATTTAGCACTGATATGAGAGAAAAAGAAATATTAGTAGTGATGTGAGAGAAACAACAATATTAGTAGAGATATGAGAAAAAACAGAAATATTTAGCGGTGATGTGAGAGAAACAGAAATATTTAGCAGTGATGTGAGAGAAACAGAAATATCTAGCAGTGATGTGAGAGAAACAGAAATATTTAGCAGTGATGAGAGAGAAACAGAAATATTTAGCAGTGATATGAGAGAAAAAGAAATATTAGTAGTGATATGAGAGAAACAGAAATATTTAGCGGTGATGTGAGAGAAACAGAAATATTTAGCAGTGATGTGAGAGAAACAGAAATATTTAGCAGTGATAAGAGAGAAAAAGAAATATATGTAGTGATATGAGAGAAACAGAAATATTTAGCAGTGATATGAGAGAAACAGAAATATTTAGCAGTGATGTGAGAGAAACAGAAATATTTAGCAGTGATGTGAGAGAAACAGAAATATTTAGCAGTGATGTGAGAGAAACAGAAATATTTAGTAGTGATGTGAGAGAAACAGAAATATTTAGCTGTGATGTGAGAGAAACAGAAATATTTAGCAGTGATGTGAGAGAAACAGAAATATTTAGCAGTGGTGTGAGAGAAACAGAAATATTTAGCAGTGATGTGAGAGAAACAGAAATATTTAGCAGTGATGTGAGAGAAAACGAAATATTTAGCAGTGATGTGAGAGAAACAGAAATATTAGCAGTGATATGAGAGAAACAGAAATATTTAGCAGTGATGTGAGAGAAACAGAAATATTTAGCAGTGATGTGAGAGAAACAGAAATATTTAGCAGTGATGTGAGAGAAACAGAAATATTTAGTAGTGATGTGAGAGAAACAGAAATATTTAGCTGTGATGTGAGAGAAACAGAAATATTTAGCAGTGATGTGAGAGAAACAGAAATATTTAGCAGTGGTGTGAGAGAAACAGAAATATTTAGCAGTGATGTGAGAGAAACAGAAATATTTAGCAGTGATGTGAGAGAAAACGAAATATCAGTAGTAATATGAAAATATTGCATTAATTTGAGAATTAAAATCCACTACACAACAAAATGTAAGAACTACACTTTAATTGTTCCAGCGAACAATATTAGAAAATTGATTTGGACACATAACAAAACAGTGGAAAATGTAATGAATGACCATATACATGTAATACTAAAATATTTAACTTAATAAAATAAAAACTTTATTTTTATGCTAATGCAAATAAATTGTCTGAAAAATACTATATATATTCACTGATATTATAAGATTAATTTGGTGCCAATATTTTACAAATCATTTGTTTGAATACAGGTTTGGTTATTGTGGTATACTGTTGTTGGTGTTTTCATATGACTATGTAGCCCTGTACTTTGTCAAAATCCAGTGGCACTTGGTTCAGAACCCCAAAACATAAGTTAGCCCCATACTGTGTCAAAATTCAGTGGCACTTGGTCAAGAACCCTAAAACAGAAGTTAGCCATATACTTTGTCAAATTTCAGTGGCACTTGGTTAAGAAACTCTTTTTCTTTTCCCGCAAGCTTTTAGTTCACTGAATACAATTTTTTGTTAGTCATACTTAAAAGATCATTTATAATTAAAAACTGATGTCTACATTATGTAAAACCCTGCATGTTGATGTTTTTTTTATCTCTGTTTAGCTTTGTGCCAAATTTTACAAAACATAAATATCTTATTTTGGAAATAAATGCATAAGGCCAGCCCATGTGAAGAAAAAAAAAAACAATGTCACTTTGTTTTCATTTAAATACATTTTAAAATATTTTTGAACTTCTTGTATCTTTAATAATTATACAATTATAACACGGCCAAAGTTACTTAATTTTAATCCATGAAAGAGAGGCTGACCTAGGTTAGGGCAGGGTTGAGTGCTCACAAACATATTTACCCCAGTCACATTCTTTATGTGCCAAATCCAAGTCAGGAGCCTGTAGTGGTTGTCGTTGGTTCATGTCCGTCATATTTGTTTTTCGTAAATTGTATTGTTATAAATAAGGCTGTTAGTTCTCTAGTTTGAATTGTTTCACATTTTTTTATGTCCTGGCCTTATACAGCTGACTGTAAGATATGGAATGTTCTCATTGTAGTAGGCTGTATGGTAACCTATAACTGCTTATATCCACGTCATTTGAACTCTAATGGATAGTTGTCTCATTAGCAATCATTGCAGTACATTTCCTTATTTTTTTTTACCAAAATTGTTACTAGCTATGATATTCTAGAAAGCTTGGGATATTTCAAAGCTCATATCTAGCTGTGTATGCCCAGTCACAACAATCATGGTATGTGAAAAATCCAACTTCCCATCTAGCCGAGATTAAGGACAACAATGATCAAATGTCCTTCTTGTTATAGTACTTAAAAGAGTATTCACAAATTGACTGAAGTTAGTCGTGAAAGTTATAATTTTAGATGACAGTGAAGATATTATTAAGTTCAAGAATGAAAAATATCCACCAATGAGAAAGTAGAGGAAGTTACGTCCAAACCAATCTCTAACCTTTGATTGTGTGTTAGGAAGAGGATGGCCTACAGTTCCAACTTTTGGGGGAGAAGTATCATAATGAGAAACTGGGCTGATTTCTGTTAATCCATATCCTGGAAAAATAAAAGCAATTGTAAAATCTGAAAAACCTTTATCATTTTCTCTTCTTGTTACCTTTGACCCCAAAAAACCTATAGAAAACTGGATATAACAGGAAACTATGAATCTAAAAGACAAAGATTCAGGAAAGGCCTAATACAGGTTAAACATTTATTTTGTTAAGGTTTTTATAAAGTGTGGTAAAATTTGATTTCATTAGGCTAAAATGTTTTGTAATAATTTTATTACTGAAACAGTATCTTTAGATAGAGGAATAATACTTTTCTTCGTTTTGATTAAAAAAACATTTCCCAGCAAGAATATAAACAATGGCATATTCATTCTTGACATATATTCCCTTGTGAGTGAGAGGTAGGGCTACAGGCATTATATACTAGCATACACCCCCCCCCCACCCCACCCCCCACCCCGCACATTCTGTAAATTGCAATTCAGTAGTTGTTGTTTGTTGCTGTATATCATATTTGTTTTTCGTTTATTGTTCATACAAAAACTAGGCTCTTAGTTTTCTCATTTGAAATGTTTTATTTTTAGGCCTTTTATAGCTTGCTGTGTGGTATGGGTTTTTGTCATTGTTGAAGGCGGTACAGTGACCTATATTTGCACACTTTTAATTAAGTCATTTAGTTTCTCGTGGAGTGTTGTCTCATTGGCAATCATACCACATCTTCTTATTCTTATTCTTATATCAAGAAGAGTTTTGGATACTTATGTTTATTATGAAATTATTACATCAAATTTCTGAACTGAAGTGTGCAGATTATAAAATAGAACTAACAAAAGTTTGGAATTATTATTACAATTTCACTGAAAAAATAATAGGTCTAATTATGCCTCTGTTTTTACAGTTAAAAAACTGACAGATTTTAACAAGTGTGTCATCATACTGAAATAAAACTATTGTCAAATGATTATTCTATATTGTTTTCATCCAGATCAAACAAAATCCACCAGTGTATTCATTAACTACTTAAGGTGGTTCCAAAAACCTTGACTAAAATTAATTTGGCTCATTAAATTTTCAAAAAATTTGACAAAATGTTTACTTTGACCCTTTGAAAAAAATATAAAAAATTAAAAAAACTTGAACCACACACTTTATCGGAAAAATTTCATTGGATATATAGCAGTTTGACAAACACTTGTTTTGATCATTGAGAAGCTTAATATTTCCTTAACAATAGAACTTGATTAAAGCGTTCAGCTGATTTTTACAGAGTTATCTCCCTGTAGTGTTATGCACCACCTTTTAAAAGAGTGCATGTTTATGCTGAACTTAAGTAAGTGTTAATTGGTGTTAGGAATTATAAAAGCATGTGATCATTTGATGACCAACCTTTCCTAGAGTGCTAGGAACTAAATGACCTACAGTTCCTATTTTAGGTGGATCTCGATCATAGTGAGATGCTGGACTTGTCTCTGTTAAACCATAGGCTGGAAAATCAAACACTATTTCTAAGTTTTTTGTCCATCTAAATCTATGAGAACGCCTGGTAGGGATATATTTTAGTAATTCAAATACAATGTATGAATAAATGTACACATGATCAATTGTTTTTACATACTGATCTTCTCCTTAACAAACACATCGTCTAGAATTAATACTGCATAAAATATTTCTTCCCTGTTTCTAAGTAAATTAAAAAATCTACTACATCTCTATAACACTAACAGGTTTCAATTTTTTCATCATCGGTCATATCATGTGCTGAAAACAAACTTTCGAAAGGATGCAATGAAGGTATATTAAAGGATGCAGAACTCAGATGTATAATTTGGTTAGAGTTATTTACATACAGACATTTGAGGCATTAATACAGAAACAAAACAAGTTTGATTTAGCAGTTTTCTCATAGACCATTTGGTGTTTTAAATTTAAATGACTATGGTTAATTAAAATAATGTTACATTCTTGGTTTAATTTCCACTGTTTAAGATCTTCTTGGTTAATCACAATGTTTTGGTATATATCTTTAAAATATTTCATAAAATGCATTAGATTCTAAATACTAACTGGACCTTTTGTTGAGATGGCAATAAACTAGTATTAGTTGTTATTGCACCAATAAGATTAGATATAACATGAATTGTGTTTTATTGTTGTTTGTCTGTTTAAGTAATTTTTTATCATACATGGAAAAAGTGGGAGAAGATAACAAAGGAGCAAACACCCTCTAATTGTCTTTTATTTATTAAATAACGGGGGAATATTATTTCAACTTGGTTGAAAATTTTAACTTATATCATGGAAGTATTATATTGACAGGAACTACAACGATTAATTAGCACTTATTTATAACCCGGGTAGCACTGTAGAAAAGATATGGAAACTGTCTTATTAGTACCCTGTCGTTAATTTCTTTTGTGACTATCTGCGATGCCGCGGTCATAAATTGACCAGAGATACTTCTTATCAATCACATGGTTTTTATCCAGACAGATTAACATCAATACCTGTCGGAAAACACCTTTACTTACTTCAATCGCGTAGGTTGACATTTATTCAAGAACATAGATATAAGAAGATGTGGTATGAGTGCCAATGAGACAACTCTCCATCCAAGTCCAAATTTATAAAAGTAAACCATTATAGGTCACAGTACGGTCTTCAACACCGAGCCTTAGCTCACACCGAACAGTAAGCTATAAAGGGCCCCAAAAAATGACTAGTGTAAAACCATTCAAACTGGAAAACCAACGGTCTAATCTATATAAAAAACGAGAAAAGAGAAACACTTATGAACCACATCAACAAACGACAACTACTGAACATCAGATTCCTGACTTAGGACAGGTGTAAACAAATGCAGAGGGTTTAAACGTTTTAATGGTACCAAACCTTCACCCTTTTTCTGAAACAATAGTGTAACATCACAACATAGAAAGCCACACTATAAAATATCAACTGAAATAGCTTAACTCAATCAAAGGACATATTAACACCATTGAACATACACTGAACAAATAAATTTGACCTATGACACAATGTAAATACAAAATAAATAAACTAAGGGAAGAATAATAAAAGTAACATGTTATATCGGTAAGAAATGTTAAACAATTAAAGAAAAACAATATGCTCGAACAAAAATATCAGCCATTTGCAATAACTTTAAACACAGGTAAATGAAAATAATTTTGTTGTTAGGTATACGTGTACAGTACAAATAGAGAAAGGAAATATTTTTACATAATAAATAATTTTGATGTTCATAGTACGAAGTGAAAATTTATAGTTATTCCAAACACTTATCAAAGCTGGTATATAGACCAGATATAACCCTGAATAACATTAAATAACAACTTATTTAAACAAATCGACTGATGCATAAAAAATGAAAATCGGCCCAGAATTAATTATTCTACAACGATTAAAAATAGTGAGTGACATTATTTTATTTCTTTAGGGGTTAAGTTAAAACTGTTAAAAGGGTGTGCCGGGTCACGAAAATTTTCTTAATAAATATATACACTGTGACGACCCGATTACTGTATATAGCAACGGACCTGGATTACCATGGAAAGTAGAAATTTTCAGTTTTAAATGCGAAAATTAATCGATCAAGGACTTAATATCACAGAAATTATACATAACAAATATAGTTAAAAAAAAGACGCACCTCGTTATTTATAAAAAAAATTATATATATATATATATATATAAGTGGGTTTAAATTTTTTGACATTTGTGAAATTCAAAACTGCTAAAATATTTGTATTTGAACGAATTTTATCCGATAATATGCAGCCGGTGTCAGTATTTCTATTTGTCATTTATGAATGTACCAATCTTGACTTATGATTTGACTCGTATTTATCAATTTGAGAAAAAAACAAGACTTATAAAATGTTATGGAATAGCTAAAGCATCTCTGTCCCATAAAATATTTTATCACTATCTGTCCAAATGACACTAGTAAATATTATTGAACAGTTGCAGTTCTTACAAAATTTCAACACAACGGGGCTCAGCTGAAACATTCGTATACCAACCAATAATCTGGATTTAGAGCGAAGCTTGATAATTCCGACATTTATTTCAAATCTCTTTGATCTTTAATTTTTATCAGAACAATCACTTTACAGTCGTCTTAAATATGCATGAAATGTGTGCCACTGGAGTAAACAGTAATTATATAATCACAACTTGCGATGTATATTACATATTGTGCAATTTCTTCCGAAAAATAAATCAATAAACATGGGGAATTTATTCAATTAATATGGTACAAATTTCCCGGCATCGTCAATGTGTTTTTCTATAGAATTAATGATGTCTAGGACAAATCCATCAATCTATCAATCGGCACACATATGCAGATGTAGGGTAACGGAATCTGCCGAGGTTTGCCGATTGCTGTTTCCAAAGAATTTATCACAACTTTCGATTTCTTCGTTTATTTCCGTAATCGCGAAAGCAACCGAGAATAACAATATTGTAGGGCACCACACGCTGGTGTGTTAATAACGTGCCATGTTTCAAGTTAATTATAAGGTTGCAGATTTTATACAATCATACTTATTTAAATTAAAACTCAAAGGTTTGCTTTTAATTGTTAAAATTATCAATTCTGAAATGGGATCATTGTTATAACAATTTCAATATATATCTAGCTGAAAAGAAAAGATCAACATGTTCAATTAAAAAGGCATGGGAAAACATTGACTAAAGCAAACATACAAGGTAGGATTAACAGCACATGTATCATAAAGCCATATAAATGGTTCTTACAAACAATGATTGTGTACTGATATTTTTATATTTCCATGTGATTTGTTTAAATTTAGTGCACTAATATGCTTGGTAAAAACAACTTTTTTGAGGATATCTAATTTTTATGCTATTACCAATTGCTCTTGAATTTACCCCTTCCTTGAAATCTTAAAAAAAACAATGAACACAAAAATATAATTATGAATGCAGAGTTATTCTAGTATGTACATCTACTATGGAGTGTCTGGCTGCTTTTGCTAACAATAATATTTGTGATGGCTGATAGTCCTATAATTTAGCTTAAGTGGTAAGAAAAAGACAAAAGCTAAACAATTTAAAAAAAAAAAAAAAAAGAAACATTCACTCCTAATTTTTTATTTACTTTCAAAACATAACTTTTAGCAAAATCCTGTGAAGTCCAAATGATATTGACATAAAAAATTGATTGAATAAATTGTAGTTTATTCACAGCACAATGCATCTTTCATTATCTACGATTTCAGCAGGCAGTTCTCTCAAGAGTCTATTTTAAGGCACTTGCATAACAAAAATTTATTTTTAGTTCTATGAGGAATACCCTCCTGAAAAAGGGGGTGGGGTGGGGGATAAGAGTATTACTGACTTAATTGATAGAAAGGTAGATATTTAAAGCATTAGAATGTTACTATTCCAAATTCAATTTTTTTTGTCTTTTATAACCATATTCTTAGTCAAGTTTACATAGAATATTAAATGTCTATTATATTGACCTTAAGAAATTGTATAGTTTCCTTTGTAATTGTCTTTAATTTTCGTACATGAATTTGTTTTGTTTTTGCTGTTATTCAAGTTTTATTACATTTTTTGTTTAGTCTCTGTAACTTCACACCTGCCAGGATTTTCCCGGGTGAACATTTTATATTGTTAAAGTTATTTATAAATATGTCTAAACTTAATAAGTATAAACTGTGAAAGTGAAACTTCAATCAAATAATGAAAAATATAGACAACAAAAGGTTGAATCAAAGAAATCATTCTGTTTCCTGTGAAGGAAAAAAATTGTTCAACAAGAGTAACTCCACAAGAGGTACTATAAGAATAGTAAACAATATGTACATGTTCATGCTCTTATAAAATCGTGTCTATATATATATTGAAGTAACTTTTATTGTTCTATTTTATTTTTATTTTGTTCTATTTTAAACCTGCACATTTCATAGTAAACAACTTCAGTCAGATATAATATTTAGGAAATCTAAAAAAAACTTTTATCACAGGTGTCAAAGGTCCAAATAAATTTCATTTTTTCTTGTAAATAAACATCTTGAACTTTCTAGCCAAAATTCCACGAGTTTTTTTTTTCTTATATAAAAAGTCAATAACACAAGTTGGCATATTAAACAATGGTTTCTGAATCATTATCAGATCATCAGTAATAATTTAAATGTTAAATCAGGACAAAAATTTTAAATATATGCTTGTATAAGGTCCGGTAAGGGTTTATTTTGGCCTAAAATTTGAAGTACATCTGATGAAAGATTTTTGACATTTTTTAAACACTTAAGTGTCTTCTTCAGTCGATTCAATTAGTTTATGTAAAAGAATTGAACTAACTTGGTCATTAAAGACGCCTAAATTCAAGCTTAAATATGAAAAATCTATCAAATATGCCACAAAACGTCACTTTTCAGATGGTTTTTGACTAAAATGGAAGTGGCCACATTCGTGTTCAGTCTCAACCTTTATATATGTTATGTATAATCATCAAATACAACATATATTTAAATATTAAGACTGAACACAAGTGCAGCCACTTTCATTTTAGACAAAAACCATCTAAAAATAAGCACAAATGCTAAAATTGTGAAGATTTCTGATGCTAGTACCTGATGCATGTGCATTGTATTGTCAAAAACAGCCCATATTTATGTAATAAAGGAATTCTTCTTTCCAATAAATAGCTGAAAGTTTACATTTTTATCAAATTTTTGAAATGCTATATTTTGGGGTCAAAAAGGGGTCTTACCGGGTCTACTCCTTTACTTACAACTACGTCATTGTCTCATTGGCAATCATACCACATTTCCTTAAAACATTAGTTTAGTTGAATATTTAGAAAAATTAAGTGAATGCAAAAAATCAATTATTACGACAAAATTAAATCTTTATTTCAGGTGTAGCCATCACAAATATTAATGTCAACATAAGCTCTATTAGCATCGTTTACTGGATTATTAATAGACGTCTAAACAAACCTTGCCGAGTGTGTTTGGGACAAGGTTACCAATGGTTCCTAACTTGGGTGGTACACAATCATGGTTTGTAACTGGGCTGGATTCAGTTAACCCATAAACTGAAAGTAAATGTCACTAAACTACAAATAAACTACTATCATTACACAGAAAAACCAAAATTGGCAGCAATGTATTTCTATAAATAAAAATGAAGGAGAGCAGGGTCAAACTTGTATGGAACAAAGTTGCACATTATACATAGACAAAGAATGAGCAGTCAAATTGACAGCAAACTGGGTTTTCCAATATATCAAGGACCATAACTCCTGAATGGCAAAAATGAATTGCCTGAATTGGTGAGGTATTTGTAAAAAAGCAGTATCAATACCTAGCCTCAAATATCTACATTTTCTGAAAACCTGTAGATATTGAATTAATGTTTCATTTTTTATAGAGTAAATATACATACAAATATTTATATTTTTATTAACATCTATGAACTTATTCCTTAAAAACACAACTGGTTAATAATAAGCCTTTCAAATGCTTCTACAATTGATTCAACTTCTAAATTTGTGTATGTAAGCATATCTATGTAAGTTTCATTTGCATACAAAAATCTGAATTTTTTGTTTGCAATCCAGAACAAACAAGCATAAGATAAATCTAGAAATTGTGATTTTGGACCAAATTTTGTAACCACTAATTTATTGAGGCCCCTCATGGGGGTGTCCAAGTAATCACATAATCACAAATTTTTTGCCTATATAATCACATAATCATTAACTATTTTTTTAAACAAGATAATCAAACAATCAAAAATACAGTCCTAGATTATCAAATAATCAAATAATCATGATATATTTGGTCTAGTAATCAAATAATCACTATAAAAACGGCCAAGTAATCACATAATCAAAAACCCCATGAGGAGGCTCTTTATTATCATCTAATCTGAAATTCAAATGTAAGATCACTTTAAAAGAAATCGATTCTATATATAATAAATTTTTAAATAAGAGCGAAATGAATTTTTAAATTCTGATTACTGGTTCAGAATATATAATTGGCAGTGTTTATGGTTTTATAAAAAAAAATAGTTAAAGAATGAGAAATCTTGAAGGTCATAATCAAAACCTTGTATTATGCACAAAATAATTGTTTTTGAATATTTGATATTTTTGTCATAAGTGTCATAGGTGAAGCATTTTGAGGAAACAATTTTGAAGAAATAACCACCAGTCAATTCTTTAGCTTATTTTTTTGGATGATTTTTGGCCTTTTGCATGGTTTTCTTATAGACAGGCTCTTAATTTAAAACAGTAAATTATAATCTCTTATTCAATTTGTGGTATTTAAATTGAATATGTGTGGTTGTTCACTTCAGTAATCAATATATAAAAAATTTAACATGTTATTATGACTTTAGGATGATCAGATATTAAGAGAGATAGAAAGAAAAAAATGATGAAATTATGTAAAAACTTCTATAAATAACATTGAGGTTATAATTCTGAAAAGAAATGAAAATCGCAGAGGGAAATAATTAAAACAATTCTTAAAGAAGATCAAATAATAAAAAGTCGCCAACAGGCAAGTAATCTGAAGAAAAAAAACTAACACGAGCAAAATTGGAAATGCCATTGTCAACTTTTCATGTTAATATTTGTGGTGACAAAAGATGTGGAATTTGTAAAGGTAAGAATAATCATAATTATAGAGACCAGAACAAATATGAGACCAAAGCACAAGGTATATTGGCAGCAAATTTTCGTTAAGCAAACACATTGAATGATGCGGAAATAATAAATTCAAAATATTTCCATTCTATATATGTAAAAAGGACACTGAGACATAAAGAGATCAAATGGAAAAATATTTTATCAAATATATTCAAACCATAACTAAACAGAGAAGAATGGTTCTTTTACAAAAGCAGAAAACACCTGAACAATAAGATGGATAACAGTGTAACAATATGATGACCTAACGACATAGAAACACTTGACAACATCTTGATAAGTCCTGTGAAAGATGAAAGTGCTAGACTTTTAACATTTGTGTTTATTTTGATGTTAATTTCATTTCAAATATATATATATATACATAACATCAGTTGTTCGGCCTGCTAGTCAAATGCGTTTTGTTGAAATATACCTTTTCACTCATTTGGTCTTTTGGAAAATGTTGTTTGTGCTGTATTTAGACCCCTCTACCAAAAAATTTGTTTTGCATGCACACATATAAAAATTGCGGTTTTTATCCAACGCAATCATAGGCTTGAACGTTGTTTTCAATTTAGACTTATACATACACATATATATGTAGGACTCGGAGGTGCGATGGGGACGCTGCAGTGCGATGGTCACGCTGAAGTGCGATGGTCTTTGTCGAAAAGTGCGATGGTCTGTTCGCTGTAGTTTCATACTAAATGAGAGATCGTTCTCTTTAAATTTGCTGCATGTGGACATCATTATGCGTGTTTAGTTTATCTTTATTTGTTCCTCTCAACTGAGATTTCTATAAGTGTTATAGTAATCTCAGCTCTCAGAACTCAAAAGTTCCACGTATACCATAATAGCATAATAAAGAGAGTCTGTCTGCGGACTCATATGTAGTAGGAGAATTCCAAGCTCCATCGTACGAAAAAAACAAAACTTCTATAGATTTAAAAAAAGATCTTCTACAAAAGGCTGATAATCCCCTTTCTACTAATTATTCACCTTTTCCGGTAGTATTAAAAATGTTGAATTTGCAAAAAAAAATCCATATTTTCTCCAGTTGCAGCAAAAACCTGTGACAGACATTGATAAGTTTATAAGGCCCTTATTATATTGCATTTTAAACAGCTATCACATTTGCAGTCATTGAAATTAGTACTGGTTTTAAAGGAAAATAACCGTTGCATGTAGCGTCTCGAACGATTGTATGAAAGTTGGCTTATTTTTGTCAAAAGTAAACTTCAACGTTACAATTATGACTGGAAAAGTAGTGACTATTTATCATGACTGTTTTAAATCAAACGGTTCTTGATGATTTACTTAATAAACTCGAAAAGCTGCTTTTAACAAACAAATTGACTTCTTTATTGACATGAAAACATTTAAAATATAGTTAATGTTATCCATCGCACTTCAGCGTAGCTATCAACAAGATAGCGTCACAATGGGACCATCGCACTTCAGCGTGATAAAAAACACACTTCAGAGTCCAACCATCGCACTTCAGCATGACCATAGCGGTTCAGAGTACCATCGCGGTTCAGAGTCCTACATATATATATATAAACATAACTAATATTAAAAGCTAAAAAGACACTTTAAAAAAACAGATTAAAAATACTATTTTTAGTCTGTTAACAGTTATTCGAAAAGTCAATTCACAGCAAATACATTTTATCAACAAATTCAGGCAAAGTCAAATAACACTGAAGACAACATGACTATGTGTACCTTGGATAACATTAGCACCTATCCTATCTATCAGTTCCTGAGTCAGTCCTGCTCCAAGAGGGGCTGCCCCAAACACCATGTTTTGTACCGTACTGACATCAAATTTTTCTACTAGAGGACTCTTGGCCATGAACAAAGCTAACGGTGGTACTAAATGCATATAGGATATCTGGAATTGAACACTATTTCCTCAATGCTTGAACAATTTACGATATTTATAATCCACAAATAGAATTAGACAATATTTTTGCTATTTTTAGTAAAAACTTTCATTAACATATAATTCTCTCACATGACCAATCAACAAATTCTTTTCACTTACATATGTGTATGTTTTCTAATCACATTTCAACTTTGCCGTAATATTTTTTATTAACCTGTCTGACCTTTTCCTCTAAATTAATACATTTTTAATGTGCCCTGATACATGTATTATTTTTAAAAGAGTTATGCCCCTTTAGAAATTTTAACTATATGGAAATTTGCATGAACCCCTATGTTGGGCAATATCTTTTAAAGGATACATTTAAAATTACAATTTTGACAAATATTTTCTAATTCTTGTTATTTCTACAGTACATTTTATACAGTTCAACATTATTTTTTGCCTGCGCATTTCATATAAAAAAATCAAGAGATCCTTTTCTCAACAAAAAAGAAATTATAATAGTTTTGATAATACTTGTATCTTAAAAAGTAGCATCCGGACATATATTTTTTTCTCTCTAAAAATTTGGTGTATTTGACATTTTATAGTCATTTTTATTTTGAATTTCTGCAGCAATGCAATTGTTCACAAGATATATAAGAAATAAATAATTTTGTAGCATATCTCCTTTTACAGTGATCTAAGTATACCTTATTTTGTTGAATTGCACCGAGGAAGGGCTCAGGTTCAAATTTAGGTATAGTAACAAGCTTGGTCCCCAAACATATAGATCCAAACTGGACCACAACCATTCCATAGATGTGATAGAAAGGTAAAACTCCTATCAAACTGTCTTTTCCAGCTGTAAGGTGGCTCATTGGTCCCCTGTTAAAAGTAGGTTCATTATAATGGGAGATAATCTAATAATTACATACTGTGGATTCATTATTTTTCTTTGATACCAATATTCGTGGATTTCGTGGGTAAACATGCACCACGAAAATAAATTTTAAACTAAGTACAAATTTTATGTATCCTTGATCACAGTCTTTGGCAAAACCATGAAATCAAATATCCATGAAAAACACAATTTTTTCTCAATCCAAGAAATTTGGTACCCACGAAAATAGATGAAACCACAGTTTCTTTAAAAAAATTCATACAGTAGATTTCTATTTATTCATAGGGTAATACTTTATGTGGATTTTATGAGAACATAATCCATGAGTTTCAGTGTTAAAAAATTACAAATTTACTAACAGACCAATATTGAGATTATTTATGAATGAGTTTAAACCGTTGACCCAAGGTTACTGAATGTAAATGACAATCAAATGTAATGTAAATCAAACAACAATCCACTCATACTGTGATGTAATAACATGTTTTAAGCATTATTACATTGGAAATGTGCCAGAAAGACTTTTTCCTCAATCTACATGATTTGTACCCACAAAATAAAAAAAATCTACCATATGGCATGCCATGTTATAGATTTATACATAAAAACTGTTCATTGTATAATGTAATGTATTGAGGTAGTTTGCTATTTATAAATTTTTGGCGTTCTTTGTAAAATATATAGGTATACATTCTGAGAGGATTTTTAGCTCTTTATACGGTGTAAATTTAAGTAAGTTCATTGTTCAATATATAAATATTAGAAGATGTGGTATGATTGTCAATTAGACAACCCTCCAACACAGAAAAAATGAGGTAAAAGATAACAACTATAGGTCAAGATTATACAGTGAGCATCAGTATTATTAGTTATTTTGGTGTAAAATTGTGGAAAATTCATACACCAGGAGGCGCAGCCCAAGGGTGTATGTTTGCCTCAGGATGTATGAATTTTCCAAACTCAGGGTGTAAGTCCTGTACACACCTGATTACACCAAGATAGCAAATTTTTTTTTTGAATTTGCCCCCAAAATTGATATTTTTTTAATTTAGTCAAAACATTTTTTTTATAATTTTTGCATTTTTAATTTTTTTTTTGGAAATTTTGGCAAAATTTTATTCCTAGGACATAAGGGTAGGGTACGTGTAATTTACATCCATGTATTTAACCTATCAGATTGCAGGAATCTTGCTGCATAAAAAAATAATTTGTTTTATTCTTTTTATATATTCATGATATTTAGGATATTGCTTCCTGTAAATTAACACATCAGCTGCAAGCGTTATTTTTTCTCAATTTGTTTACACACAAATAACTTGTTTTGACTCCATCATGAATAAAAGTTGATGTTTGGCATACTTTAACACAACAAGACCAATAAAGAAATCTAGAGGTCAACCTACGGTATTCAGCAGTTGACAAGCATCAGTATTTTGATTTATTCAATCTAGGATTATTTATATATTCATGGTATTTGGGATATATTATATATATATATAATTATTTCTTGTACATTAACACATTATCATATCTTTCTAGTTTTACATCATAAATAATGTCATATGCTATCCTCTAAAATCTTATTTAGACTTGTTAAATGATAAAGATTTTACACCAGAATTTGCAACAGTAAAATTGACAATTGACAACATCAAATAAAAAAGACAGGAGGTAGATACCAAGGGGACATTCAAAACTCATAAGATGATAGGAATTCCATGGCCAAAAACTTTACTACTTGGAACCCTTGGTTCAAAGGCTCCCTTGTAAGCAGCAACCCTCAATCAAGGAAATCTTGATAGGAAACACAAGTTCTATAATATATCATATAAACTGGGAGATATATACTCCATATGCAAGTGTTGCTGAAATATTGCTAGAAAGAAATGGAATATTTGTAACTAAAAATTTGTTCTGGCGTGACATTTGTTCCGCCGGAACTTATTTCATAGGAAATATGTTCCACCGGAATTTGTATCACAGAAAATTTATACCCAGAATATATATTAAAAGGAAATATGTTCCAGCACTGTAAAATTTGTCCTGGAACTAATTGGAAAGCTGAAATAATCCCTTTTATCATAAAGTTTTGTTCTAAACCAACCCTTATTGACAATTTCTTGATGAAAGTCAAGATATGAGGCAGACTAATCTGTATCTGAGGTATCCTTTATTTTAATTACGAAGGGATAGATGCATTCGTCATAGTTACAAAACTTTCAATTATTTAGTGAGAGGACATTCTATATATCTCATTTATTTTAAGTACGAACGAAGGGATAGATGCATTCGTCATAGTTACAAAACTTTCAATTATTTAGTGAGAGGACATTCTATATATCTCATTTATTTTAAGTACGAATGAAGGGATAGATGCATTCGTCATAGTTACAAAACTTTCAATTATTTAGTGAGAGGACATTCTATATATCAAAATGTGCTTACCTAATAAGCTGTTCAATGTTTGCAATGATATTATAATGTGACAACATGACACCCTTTGGAAGCCCTGTGGTTCCACTGGAATAAGGTAGGACTAAAATATCTTCTTTAGAATTAATATCAGTGTTCTCAGGAAATGCCTTCCCATCATCCTCCATTAGCAAAGAGAATGGTATTGCTCCATCAGAATTTCCTATGCTAATTATCAACTAAAACAGAATAATGTTTTTGACATAATCATGTCCTATTAATTAAAAACTGCAGATAATATAATATAATTGGAAAATTTACTCTCTATCTGTTCTTAGTTGGTCTGAACTAAAAACTTCTAATTTTTGTTTTATCAACTCTACAATTACTAGGGTTCTATATATTAATCCAGATTCTTATTAATCCATCATAAAACTAAATGCACTCTTTAATATATATTTAGTTCATGTGTACTTTACATTAAAAAATACATACAAAAATATCTGGTTAATTCATATTAACTTCATATCTTATAAGCATGTTTATGTTTTTGTTTTGTTTTGAATTTCTAACACCAGCAACCTTGACTGTCATAGAGGATAAAAGATAAGCATTGTAAACCTACTCAGAATACAGTGGATTGTTTATCCATTTGTTCTATCTGTGAATAGGTTTTAAAAACAAATCCTATTATTTTCAGATTTTACAATTACTTTTTATTTCTTATTAAAAACTTTCAGATTTAAATTCATTTTTAAAAAATCCTATTTTTGTCAGATTTTACAATTACTTTTTATTTCTTATTAAAAACTTTCAGATTTAAATTCATTTTTAAAAAATCCTATTTTTGTCAGATTTTTACAATTACTTTTTATTTCTTATTAAAAACTTTCAGATTTAAATTCATTTTCACTAGTTTGATGGGATGTACTGTAACAAGTAGTAGGTACATTATTTTGGTTATGTTTTTGTGAAGTATAAATATTGAAAAAGATTTATCACAATGAATGAATTAATGAATTGATGTGAAACATTACACACTACAATGACATTCTGTTACAATCTCATTGAAAGGGGAAGGTTGAGCGATAATAAACATGTTAAACCCTGCCACATTCTTTATGTACCTGTCCCAACCTGGGAGCCAGTAATCAAGTGGTTGTTGTTGATTGCTGTATGTCATATTTGTTTTCCTTTTTATTGTTCTCATATAAATGAGGCCATTGGTTTTCCCTTTTTAATATCTCACATTTTGTCATCTCAGGGCCTTTTATAGCTTATTATATAGTATGGGTTTTGATAATGTTGAACACCTGATGGTGACATGTAATTGCTCACAATTTTTTGTCCCTGATCATAATAAATTGATAGTTGTCACAATGACAATCATACAACATTACCTTATTTTTATACAGAATTTAATGTTTTCTTAAACTTCTTGTAATTTTGTTCACTTTCAAATGTCTGATCTTTATTTGTTATTAATGTTTCCAGAATAAATAGCCTTGACTTAATGCAATATTCTTTATTTAACAGTGGTGTTATGCCCTTATACATCATGGTGTGAAATGTAATATTACCTTTACTTGCTCAGCTATATCTTTGGATGAATTAACAGCTTGCACAGCTGTCTGCATCAGACCGGGTAATGTTACTATTGCACTGGATTCAGAGTGTGATATCTGTCTGGCTAACTCAGCTGTAACAATAATGTTGGCATATATATATATATATTGTTATACAATCATAAACAAAATTAAATGTTTTCTCACAGTTAATTGATTTCATAATTCAAAAATTCTTTTAATCTAAGCTATTTGGAAAGTGATTATATGGAATTGATATACATATAAAGAAAAACTGATTTTTCTAGGATTCCTTAGGGTCCAATAAATAGACCAGTTCCCAAACACTGCCAAAGAGAATCAATAAAAATAGAAAGAATTCCCCAAATTATCAACTTACTTCACTAAGTTGGATTCCCAAATGCTTAATAATTAAAAAAACTTCTGAGATGGCATTAAAATACTGTATCACCATGACAGATTTCATGAAATATAAGGAGATAGAAACCCCAATAAATGGCCCTGTAAAGGTTTTTTTTTTTAACTTTGATTATTAAAGTAAATATAATGGGTATGTATTGCTAAATGTATGATATTTAAAAGTATAATACCAAAATTGTATATCTGCTACATATTTAGTCAATTTTTCTAGAAATTTGTCCAATTTTTTCCAGCTTTTTTCATGATTTTGTATGTGGTGCCACCCCTCGTCCATTGAATTTTTGGTTGAAAAGTAAAGAATATGATATAAAGAATGTTTCTGGCCGATGGGTGGAACCACTGTTAATTTTTCAGAAAACTGTCATAAATATTGCAGAATTCTACAAAAAATCCGGTTTTTACGAAAATTCCCCTTCATTATGACGTCGCAATTGGTGAAAATATGTTTTAACTGAAACAATTGGACATTTTAACATATTTTTTAATCAAATGTTTCCTACATTATCACAGTGAAATTTTTTAAAGATTTTTAGGGCTAAAATTTTAAGTTAGTGAACAAACTCCTTTATAAAAGGAACAGTATTTAATTAATCTTCATTGCATGTGGGACTAATAATCTTTTTTGTTGTAGGGATGTAAAAATACCCTGCCACGTCCGGTTTGTGTTTTTGTCACCGGTACTTATTTTTTTGCTTTGTATCGATCTGATGACTATGCGATATAGATTTTGCTCATTGTTGAAGGGCGTACGGGGACCTATAGTTGTTAACTTCTATGTCATTTAGTCTCTGGTGGAAAGTTGTCTCAATGGCAATTATACCACATAATCTTATTATTATAATAGATAAATTCAATGTATTAGTCCAAGATTGCATATATCAAAATTACAACAAATACAAGTATGTAAACAGAAAGATTATTTTGTGATATATTGAATTGCACAGTATTAGTTCCTTTTTTAATAGTAATATGTGATAAGACTACATGAATATGGCATGTATGGGATTGATGTCAGTCATTATATCATGTAAAAAATCTTGAAGCTAATGATCTAAACAAATTTCTGATGAAAAATATTTGGAAAGTGTAATTCTTGTCATCTCATGACCTTGAATGCATTTGAGTAAAGGCAGTTATATTCAACCTTTTTGTAGGTGCTAATCCATAAAGTCTGACCAAATATAACATATCAATTCATATGAGGGGTAGATCTAAATCTACCTGCAATGATTTGTCTTTTAGTGTGTGAATTTTCATAAAATTTCTCAGTAATATTTAAAACTTTAAATATTTCTTACCATTAGTATATACAGGATTAGCTGTGCTAACAATAACTCCTATTGCACTACAGGCCATAAACATGATAGCATACTCAGGACAATTGCTACAAAATATCAGAATTCTATCTCCTTTCTTGAATCCCATTTTGGTTAAGGCACTAGCTACTTTAATGGAGTATTCCTTTAGTTGTCTTCCACTGAAATGTCTGCCTGATGTATTATCAACCTGAAGAAAAATGGATTAAACCATCAGATGATCATATCACACAAAATTAAACACATCAATTCAAAGAACAAAGGTTAATATACAAAAGCACTAATATTACAGTACAGAAATCAAATGTTTCAGTACAATTTAACTTTACATGTATAACTGTACACATAAAAATAAACAAAGAACTGTGCAATGCACTTGTGAATGTATAATATTTCCAATCCTTAAGTACTGTTAAACAATTGTAAGGAGTAACATGTTTTATCATTCTTTCTTTCTCTCAAACCATTGAAAGCCTATGTGAACATGATGAAAATGTATTACACACCATTAATGCAAAGTCAGAAAAGATATCTAGTTGTCTAAACACATATTCAGCAAAGGAGCACTGTGGTATTGAGAGATCTGGATATGGACTCCGTACTATTGTCTCTCCATTGATGTTAGTGATAGGAGGTACACTCCTTTGGTCTGTACTGTAGCGTAAACATGTCGACCTGGCTTGTGACAAATTATTTCTATGATGTGGTTTTGGAAATAACTGTCTTGTTAAATGAGTACATGAGGCAGGAAATATTCTAACACTTCTCTGTATTGCTGCCATTTTGTAAACTCTCTATCATCTAACTGAAAAGAAAACATGGAAAATATCAATAGTATATAATTTAAACAACAGGCTCCCAAGAGCCTGCATCCCTCATATGGTAAAAATGTGTAATTTTAATAATCATTTTACTTATATAGAAATCAGTTTGCTTATTTGTTAATCTTATTGTGTGACAATTTTGTACATTTTATATTGATGAACATTTTTTCTGTCAACAGTTTATATCTATCTATTAAACTTTTCAAAGTAATTGGCAAAATTAAAGAAATTAGTAAAAAAAATGTAATTTAAGGGTAATAATTCCAACAAGGAGTCTGTTAATTGGGACCTGTTGACTTACTTGTAGATCTTATTTGCTTTTAAAGTTTCTCTCTATCCACTATACATGCTATAGATTGTGGCAAAAATACAAAATATTGGGTAACAAGAGTGCACACGCTGAAATGTCTCGCCTGCTTTACTGACCATTGATCTTATGTTGAAAGTCTTAAAGGTAAAGGTTTTACTATAAGCATTACAGAAACTTAACATTTTCAAAGATCTATGACAATGAGGTCAAGGTCAGATAAATCGTGTCAGACAGACATATACACCTTACAATTTTTTTATACACCAAATATAGTTGATCTATTGGGTATGCTAATTGAAAAACAGACCAAAACACAAAAACTTAACATTAGGTCAAGGTCAGATTATACCTGCCAGACAGACATGTGCACCTTACAATTATTTCATACACCAAATATAGTTGACCTATTGCTTATAGTACTAGAAAACAGACCAAAACACACAAACTTAACCTTGACCAATGAACCATGAAAATGATGTCAAGGTCAGATGAAACCTGCCAGACAGAGATGTACACCTTACAATCATTCCATACACCAAATATAGTTGACCTATTGCTTAAAGTACTTGAAAAACAAACCAAAAACAAAAAAACTTAACACTGACCAATGAACCATGAAAATGAGGTCAAGGTCAGATGATACCTGCCAGACAGACTTGTACACTATGCAATCATTCCATATACCAAATATAGTTGACCTATTGCTTAAAGTACTTGAGAAATGGACCTAATCACGTAACTTTAACCTTGATCACTGATCCATGACATAAGGTCAAGGTCAGGTGAACTCTGGCTGACAGACATGTAGATGTTGCAAGGAACCCATATACCAAATATAGTTATCCTATTACTCATAATAAGTGAGAAATTCACATGACAAAAAAACTCAAATTTATTTTCAAGCAGTCGCTGAACCATGAAAATGAGGTCAAGGACAATGGACATATGGTTGACAGAAACTTCGTAAAATAAAGTATCTGCATTCAAGATATGAAGCATGCAGGTCTTCTACCTTCTGAATTATAAAGCTTCATACATTTAGTTTACGCCATCCTCGCTGCCGCCACCAGATAGTAATACCTATGTCTCGCACATTGCGACTTTTGTCGCAGGCTAGACAAAAATCATCACTCAGGGGAAATAACTAATATAAGAGTTGGTTGATAATTTTGGAAATATTTGTTAACTTATTTGAAAAACTTTTAAGCTAAACATTTTTGCTATTTTCTGTTCCTCACTATAAACATGATTAATAATTTAGTTTCTGCAAAATACACAAAATGGGTAAAAATCATCTTTCAAAGGCAATAGCTCCTCTATATGTGGGGTCAATTGATGATTTCAAAAAAATTGACTAATTGTACATTTTATTTTGCTGCTCATTTTTGCTACATATTTCATTGCTCTCTCTCTCTCATGTCTCTATCATAGTTTCTGTAAAAAATTCCTAAACTGAGTAATTCCTTTAAATAAACTTAATTCTAAAAGGTTACCATTCAACAGTGAAATTAGATCTTTGAATATTGGTATAAATATTGATTTTGTTATCAGTAAATTAAAACCATACTAATGATTATTGTTTAACATAATGCACTTTCACTGCACTACAATCTTTCGATACCTATATTTTGGCATTGCACAAGGTCATGTTTTTCTTTGACTGTTAACATGGTTAATGACATCTTTACACTAAATCCATTGGATGTTTGATGTGTATTGGTTGATATTTTAGTCTAAGATACAGTGATTTTTTTTATAAGTTTTTATTGGCTTTGAACTAGCTGTCAGTAACTGTGAGTACTCTGTACTTTGTAAGTGTGAAATCTGTACTAAATACATGTCTATTTTTTTGTTAGGGATGTATAAATATCCTGCCATGTCCAGTCAATGTTTTTGTTAGATGTATTTCTGCTTTGTATCAATCTGATGAGTTAAGCCCTTTTCAACTGATTTTTATAGTTTGTTCTTATGTTGTGCTGTAACACCACTGTCCCAGGTTAGGGGAGGGTTGGGCACCCTCAAACATGTTCAACCCCACCACATTCTTTATGTGTCTGTGAGCCTGTGGTTTTTTTCTCTATCTATTATGGTTTCTCCAAAAAATGCAAAAATGTGTAAGACCATCTTTCAAGGGCTATAAAGAGTCCATTGATAATTTAAGCCAAGTTGACTTAATTATTTGTATGATCTTATTTTGCTGAACATTTTATTTTTGACAGTTAATTTCTGCCTATTATGGGTTCTGCAAAACTGGGTTAAAAACATCCTTCAAGGCCTAGGGCAATAACTCCTATCATGCCTATAAGGTATCAATTGATGTTTTCCAACGGGATGATTAATATGTGAAGCTCATTTGGTGATCATTTTTGCTGCGAACAATGTCTTTCTATTTCTTATAGTTTCTGCAAAAAACCACACAAAAATTGGTAACAAGAAAACACAAGCTGAGGTGTCTTGTTTGCTTTACTAAACGATTGAATATAATTTGTTATTGTAAGTCTGTAATATGAAGATACATGTACTACAAGTATCACATTACCGTAACCTTATGAAAATGAGGTCAAGTCGTATGAACCTGCCAGGCAGACATGTACACCTTACATTCATTTCATACACTAAATATATTTGACCTATTGCTTTTATATATCTTTTTATTAATGAAAATGTTACATTAATTTAAATCAAGACAACTATAAAATTGAGAATGGAAATGGGGAATGTGTCAAAGAGACAACAACCCGACCATAGAGCAGACAGCAGCCAAGGCCACCAATGGGTCTTCAATGCAGTGAGAATTTAACTCCCGCACCCGGAGGCGTCCTTCAGCTGGCCCCTAAACAAATATGTATACTAGTTCAGTGATAATGGACATGTGCATACTGAACCAACTTACAAATTTACAATCCATAAGAGGGAGCAAACAAACCACCACTAGTATTGGATTTTGTAAGAGCGAGTTCAGGTATATAAATTTCCTTTGTATTCATGGGGGTCTGGATGGGGGTCCTTTAATTCTTTATTCTTTAATTTTTTAGATGATTTTTTTTTATTCATTATTTATTTTGCCCATTATTCTTGTGCTCTTTTTTTTTAATTTTTTTCTGCACTTTTTGACAATTATTCTCTATTCTGTAAACCCCATCTACATTTAGACTTTATATATATATATCATTGAAAAATCTACATCATTTACACATAATATATTGTTTAAATGCCTGCATGTTATTTGTTTTGTAAAAAATATCAATCAAGTAGTGTTCCATCAGCTTTAATGAAGTAAATTAGTGAATTGAGATTCATACAACAGTTAATCAATCTGCAGATTCACACACAAATACATAATAGCTGTACATGTGACAATATAGGAATTGCTTTAAATGTTTGGAGGACTCTGTCAATATTGTGTAATGAATACATTAACATAAAGGAGAAAAGGCATTTCAACTTAGAATGTCATCTTCATCATATATACATGATATATATGCATATCAAGAAATGTTTTCTAATTAAAGTTAAAAAACTTTTTTGACTAGATTCACCAAGATTATGACAAAAAGAACTGTTACATTATTTTACCTTTATCTGAGTATAGATTAGTTGATTGGTAAACTAAATTATAAATGAAGATAAAACATGCATTTTTTTAAAAATCTTTAGCTTTATTTTTCATAATTTACTTTGTTGCTGCAATCTCCAGTACTAATATAATATAATCTTTAACATGTTTAATTAGCAAAAGTACTAATTCTAAAATTATTGCATCAGCTTAAATTGGTCCTTCATTACAACCTCTTTATCGATAAGATTAATTGCTTTCAGAACAAAATTCATTCAAGGTACATAGATTGTTTGTTAGGGGGCGTTTAACATTAACATAATGCTGTAAGTTGGATGGTGAAAGGTAAATTGAATCTCTTCTGCCTTCTTGCATTGAAAAATAGCAGAAAACAATGGGTTTAGATCTTTAATGAAGTATGCAAAGTTTGAGACGGGAATAAAATTTATTTGTAAGACTTTTCATTTAAATGAAGAAATTATGTGTTATTTTAATATTACAACTGTTTTAGTGAACTTTCTCTTTAGATGCTATTTCTTGGTCTTGACAATTAGCTTCTGTCCAAGTTTCATAACAATCTATGAAGGTTAACAAACTTATCATGTCAAAAAAATTTATGCCACCACCAATGATGGTGATCTAGGATCGCTATGTCTCGCTTTCACAGAATAAATTTTGCAGGCTCGTCAAAAAAGGAAGGTATAGCAAATTTACCTTTTTTGTTCTGTAGCGAGAAAACAAGTATAGTGACCCAAATTTTTCTTTTGAATTTCTGAAAGCACATTAAAAAATCTATCTTCCATATCATGCATATTTTATTTTAAAATTCTATTGAAAATTGTCTTAGATAAGCAGTTTTATCATGCATCATCCATTAAAAAAGTGACAATTTTGTACCTGCAGCTTTAAAAAAGCTGTATCATGATCATCTATACTTTTTATTATATTTTAGAAAGTGAAGCATCAGATAAAAACTACATTTTGGCAAGGACATATATTTATCAATTCTTGATTTTGGCAAAATAAAATTTAAAACATCTATCACTTAATTGAGGCCCCAATCTACCATATGTTCTAAAAAACTTTAGAAGTATTTTCAAAATATTTGTTATTTATCTGTTTAAAAGTTCAATCTATACGTCATTTCTCGAAACATCTTTTTCACTGGAAAGATTGTCAATTTCGCATGCCTTTATGACGTCATTTACCAGATAGAAGGCGCTTTACCAGATAGAAGGCACGCCTGTATCCCTGCTCTATTAAAAGTTTCCAGCAATTTGATAGTCGTCATTCTGTAGGGTAGTATAGAAATAATTTATGTTCCGTAAGTACGTAATCTTGATTTCTGTACGACTGAGGGAGGGTGATCATCTTATTAGATTTTAATTTCCCAAGTATTTTGTGCAGTATAAAATCAAACTTTTTCACCCGTTTGCTCAACACGTGTTGGAAGTGACGATGTCTACATTTTAGTCACGTGGTGATGGAAGTCACATGACAGATTCAACTAAAAACCGTATCCCGGAACTGCCGTATTGTTATTCTATTCATTTATAAACCACGAAACATAGGAGTTAGTTTAAACTTACTGGGATTTGGTCATGTAAAATTAAGTGAAGTAAAGAGTTAACATTTTACTAAGTGCAAATAGGAATGATTGATTGATTTTGTTGTTTGAATAACGTCCAGTGGCAAATATTTCATGCATACAAATTACCATAATTTCCAATTAGTATGCCATAACTTATAAGATGATTAAAAATCATGCAATTGCCGCAGGTAATGGTTTTGACAGTTCTTTATAACTTTAAACAACACCCACATCTCTTGAAAGCTACCTATATATTTGTTAAAATATCCTTGCTGCAAAGACTCCTACATGTAAGTGCCAACTTTTGACCTTTCGTCTGCTCCGTATATTTCAACCGTTGCCGTTCCGAGTTTTTTTTTTTTAAGAAGAATAATTTTTGTCAAATAAAGGGGAAAAACACGCTAATATTTATCTCAACTGAATTTAACATCCGTGCATTATGATGGGATAGTTTTAAAATTTAATCAATTAAAAGATGTTGAAATATGAACATTTCCCGAAGGAGGGAAAGAACTATATTTAACGTTTCATGCGCTTGCGGAATAACCTCGAATATCTAGCTGTTGTTTGCCTAACTTCCGTTTTCAATTTCCATATGCTAGAAAGAAATACCAGACGATGGTAATCTCCGACAGCTTTAAAAACCCGTCAGATGTTGTGTTTGTTGTTGAAGGAACTGCAAATCTTGGTGGATATATTGACGTCTTAAAGGAGAATTATATTATCCCGACTTTAGAGTAAGAAAACGTTGATGGTTTTAATTTTGTTTGACATTTATTTATTTCGTAGTTAAAACTTTGGGGATTCCCCATTTACTTTGGGGGAATATTATACTTCAAGGAAGTGCTCTCAGAAATAACGTATACCTGAAATAAAAGTTAAAACAGACATCCTTCATTACTAATAGATTAAAAACTTCTGTTGTTATCAATGATTAACCTAAGACAATGGTGATATATAAATTAGTAAATAACGAAAAAGTAAGACCTCATAACCGATTTTCTGGTTTTACCTTCATCACTAACGCTTAAAACCAAAGCTGTGAAAGTACCTAAAGACTTGAGGATGGATGTGACCGAAAGGGAGCAAAAATGAATAGCCAAGAAAATAGCTGAAATTATTCAACTGATGAGAAAATGTCCATTTTGCCAATTTTGGTTAATCCAGTTGTTGTTTTTTAATTTCAAATAAATAAGAGAAAGGTTCAAATATTAATTTTATTCACAGTACTTTGTACTTGTTGTATGTTTTATAAGTTTTTTGACATATGTAATTGTTACAACTGCCTAAATGTTTAATTGATTTAAAATGTATATAGATATCATGGACATGATAGACATCTGTTTTACTTTCACTTTGATTTTCACTGTAAACACAATTGTATCAGTACAACAGCACTAAAGGACGGTTTATTTTGCCAAAGTTTTCAGTAATTCATAGATTTTCACAGTTTTAGGACAATATAGAACATTTTAGATGAACACAGATGCTTTTCACTCTCAGACTTGTGTTTTTCATTAGAATGTAAAGTGTGTACATTTTTGTAATCAAAATCACTTGTTGTGTTATCTGATTTTATCTTGCTAGAATGCATGCTTAACCAGAGAAAGATTTACCTATTTTATACGGGTAGTGGTAAATGGATGTCTTTTGGTTTGAGTTTTCTGTCGGCATACATGCATGTACATCATGTACATGTACGTCTGTAATCCTTGATCTCATTTTCTTGGTTCATTGACCATTCTATGAGTGTTTGACAACTATATATATATATTTATACATGTAATATTTGCTACAGTGTACATGTATGTAGATTCATTCTTGGGTAAAATATATGCATGTCTAGGAGACCAGGTTCATTTGATCTTGAGATCATTTCATGGTTCATTTGTCAAGGTTAAGTTTGTTTCTCAGATAATTTAAGAACATGAAGAAATAGACATTAAATTTTTTGTGATAGGGTAGTGTTTCCAAAAGCTTTGAAAAGGGTAGGGTAATTTTTTTCTCTAAGGGCTCTCAGAGCGCTATTGGTGATACTTTAAGGGTACCCTTAGCTTTGAGGGCTACACTTTTTGGGCACCCTGAATAGACAGTATAAAGGCACTGTTATAGGCAGGGATTTAATCAAAATACCACATTGTTTCATATTTGATGTAAAAAAATATAGATTTACATATTAGATGACTAATTTCATTGCTTTTTGTGATAAAATTATTACTTCTAGACTCAGTTCATACATGCAAAATATTGATCGTGGAACTGCCTCTTTTTATTTAATTACTGCAAAATAGTGTGAGCAACCATAAAAGACATAATTGGTCATGTTGCCAATGTTGGTAAATAATTGATAAATAAAATGACTACTTTAAACCAACTAATTTTCACGAGCGATTTATTTTCGTGACTTTTGCGAGTAGAAAAATAACATGAATATAAATCGTCGTGAACATGTATAACTTGGATCTTTCCATCATCAAATAAATTTGAAAATCGTGAAATGAAATCGCTGCAAAATGGCCTAGAAAGAACTTAACGCGAAATAAAGTATATATCAGCGAAAATAAGTTGGTTTACAGTAACTATCTTTCAGAAGGGTGTTACATTGTATTTTTGGTCCCTTATAATTACTAATCAACTAGTCAGAGAATAACAATCTGACAGCTGGTCATGCATGATTGTACAATGTAGTTGCAATTAAAACTATGTCAGCTACATGTACTCTCTTATATTCCCACCCAATCATGCCAATTTCAGCCGTCTCCCGACAGAATAGTTAAACTTGTCATTCAAAATGGAAATACATGTATTAACAATCAGCTGATTGATTATAACACAACATAAAATTGAATATCAAAACAACTGCCTGGTAATCCTTTTAAATTGTATGCATTTTTCAAAATTTGCAGAGGTACAAATTGCAGTAGTCTAATTCCATTCAATAATCATCAGTATTTGTACTCTGTTCGCTTCAAAAACGTTCAATCATATATATAATGCTTTGATGAAATTATACAGAATGAAAGCATTACTTTCAAAGAAATAACTTGAAAAGGTTTTACGTAAAGATGAGTTGCAGTATACATATCAATCATAAATTACAGCTGGGGGTTATAAAATAAGACAAAAAAGGCCCCGGGTGCCCAACATTTCTACAAAAAGTACACAATGTGTACATGTCCATCTGAATGGGTTTATCTGAACTTGACCTCATTTTCAAAGTTAATTTTTCTTGCTTATGTCTGTTTTTCAGATACATGTATATGTACTATTAGTAATAGGTCAACTATATCATATATATTGGGTGTAGAATGATTGTAAAGTGAACATCACTATATGTCCATCTGACACATGTGACAGTGTCATGATTGTGATAAAACTATAGAGTTTGATCAAATTTATAGTTCTTTTCAACAGTTGCACCAATACTATATAAATATATATAGATGTGGTATGATTGTCAATGAGACAATATCCACTGAAGACCTAAGGATAAGGATGTTAACAGCTACGGGTCAATGTACAGCCTTCAACAATTGAAAAAAACCTTACAGTTTGGATTGGTACAAAATTTGTTTGTTGTTAACTGGTGTTATAATAATACATGTTTTATGTACATTATACTTTTAACCTGACTCAACCAGTGTTTGTGGTGTTAAAATAAGATTATTCCATTCTAGGAAGCCCAATTAGCCAAATAAGATGATTAAGATCACAATTACATGTATATTGGGTTTTTTGGCAATATGGACTCATCAGAATCAGCTGGGACTCACCACTTCAGAAAGTAATGAGTCCCAGGTCTCCCAACGTCAGTAGGTGATGAGTCCCAGGACTCCCCCTTAAACTATCCTAGTGAGAAAACTGTACACAGAAATAAGGATAAATTGATAAAACTGTAAAACCGATTGAGAAAAAATAATTTACATTATGATCATGAGATCATGATGAATAATTTTGTAGATCAAGCACCACTTTTCTTTAGTTCCTATTTAACATGTTTAAGTATAAGTATCCTTGTAATAAGTGGTACTGATAATAGTATTTTTGTGAAGTATGGTCATTTTTGACTGAAGACGTGCAGTTTGAATGGTTAATAACCACTTACATGTGTACATGTATATCAAGGACATTTTCTAATAATATATCATAAACAAAACTTGTTGTTTTCACATATCTATTTACATTTTTATACCGCTTTAGAAGTGGGGGCTTTATCATGTACATTTTGTATATTGTAATCACCTTGTCCGTCTGTCATGTGTGTATGTCATGTTTCTCAAGCTAATATTTGCATCACAATTTTCTCAGAAATTACAAAACAGAATGACTTCATATTTAGTAAGCAGCTTGGCAATGACTAGTTGTAATGACTTTTTTATGTGTGAGCACTTTTCGGATGGTACTTCCTGTATGTTGATGCTATGCATTTTTATACACCTGTCGAAAACACGAAATATTATGGTATACCATAATCCGGCTGTAACAATTTATATGAAAAATTTTGATATAACCAATTCTCATATAATTTTAACACAAAATTAGGAATGACAGAAGAAAGCTCCCTTTTGATTTTGAAAATTTTAGGCTATGTTGTTCCAGAGTTATGGAAATTTTACTGTCAAATTTAAGGCTAAATTTAGATTTAAGACTTCTGTATAAAAATAAGAAAATTTGATATGCCTAGATTAATTTCCTTAAAACTTTTAATGAAAAAAATGTTTTTAAAAATCTGCAAATTTGCATGTATTTCTTTGCAATTCCTGAAGAAATGAGCATATAAATCTGGAATGAGTGTTACAAAAAAATGTTCATGGTATTCTTGAGGACATACATTTTTGTCTCGCCTTGACGGAGTCAAAAAGTGAGACATAGGTTTGCAGTTTCCAGCGACGGCGTCAACAATGTATTAGATTGTGATTAGGTCTAGTTCATGGTGAACCACTAGTGGTAGGTCAATGATATTTGGTATGCAGTTGTATTAGCATTGGCACATCTCATTGCTATAGAGATTATTTGGCCCCGCCCCCTCAGTCAAGGTCTATTGACTTTGAAACTTTTCATAGTTTACATAAAATTGAGAATGGAAATGGGGAATGTGTCAAAGAGACAACAACCCGACCATAGAACAGACAACAGCAGAAGGTCACCAACAGGTCTTCAATGCAGCGAGAAATTCCCGCACCCGGAGGCGTCCTTCAGCTGGCCCCTAAACAAATATATATACTAGTTCAGTGAAAATGAACGCCATACTAAACTCCAAATTGTACACAAGAAACTAAAATTAAAAATAATACAAGACTAACAAAGGCTAGAGGCTCCTGACTTGGGACAGGCGCAAAAATGCGGCGGGGTTAAACATGTTTATGAAATCTCAACCCTCCCCCTATACCTCTAGCCAATGTAGAAAAGTAAACGCATAACAATACGCACATAAAAATTCAGTTCAAGAGAAGTCCGAGTCTGATGTCAGAAGATGTAACCAAAGAAAATAAACAAAATGACAATAATACATAAATAACAACAGACTACTAGCAGTTAACTGACATGCCAGCTCCAGACTTCAATTAAACTGATTGAAAGATTATGTCTTCATCATATGAATACATGTATTAGTTTGTGATTAGGTCAATTTATGCGGAACCACTCGTGGTAGGTCAATGATATTTGGTATGCAGTTGTATAAGCATTGGCATATCTCATTTCCATGGAGACTATTTGGCTCCGCCCCCTTAGTCATGGTCTATAGACTTTGAAAATTTTGCTAAGTTAACATGTATTAGTTCAATGTAGTTTGTGATTAGGTCAGTTCAAGGGGAACCATTAGTGGTAGGCCAATGTTAATTGTTGTTCAATTGTATAAGCATTAGCACATCTCATTTCCATGGAGACTATTTGGCCCCGCCCCCTCAGTCATGATCTATTTACTTTGAAACTTTTGCTTAGTTTACATGTATTAGTTTGTGATTAGATCAGTTTAAGATGAACTGCTAATGTTAAGTCAATAATATTTGGTATGCAAATTTATTGGCATTTGCAAGTATCGTTTCCATGGAGATTATATAGCCCCACCCCTGATCATGGTTCATTGACTTTGAAACTTTTACATATTTTACAAGTTAATGTTTGTGTTCAGGTTTGTTTAAAGGGAACGACTTATAAGTCAATGGTATTTGGTATGCAGTTGTATTAGCATTGGCACATCTCATTCCATGGAGATTGTTAAGCTATGTACCTTCAGTCATGGTTCATCGACTTTGAATATTTGCATAACTTACATGTTAAAGTATTGCTATTTTAATTTCAACATTTGCATTATCAAAATTACAAAAAGGCGAGACATATCTCTGTGTTAACAGTTTATTTGTACTTTGGACATGTTGAATTAAAAAAAAATCAGTTTGGTTCTACATGTTGCAAGTCACATGTATAGTTGTGCAGTTTATTCCAGTTGTACTAAGTCTAACTTATCTTGGACTCAATAACAAATTTAACTAATCATGAACTTGATAATTTTTGTGTTATTTGTATTTATAACAACTTAAATTTTTACAGAGTTTTTAATGGAGGACCAGCAGACCCAACAGATTATGGACGTGATGTATGTATTAGTGTTGCCTTTAACAATAATGTTTTGCTTATTTTTATCCTAAATATAACCATTATATTAGTTTATTGGTAACATAGTACATGTAGTACAATGTTTATAAATTGTAATTATAAGCAGAAATAAAGAAAAATCATCAGAATTAGAACAATTTTTAATCAGCTTAGTAAGTTTAAGATTCAGGTTCATTTTTCAAAGATAACAGTGTTGTACAATGACTTCCTCATGTCACACTATTGTAAGATCCCTCATGTTACACTATTGTATGATCCCTCATGTCACACTATTATAAGATCCCTCATGTCACACTATTGTACATGTATGATCCCTCACGTCACACTATTGTAAGATCCCTCATGTCACACTATTGTAAGATCCCTCATGTCACACTATTGTAACATCCCTCATGTCACACTATTGTATGATCCCTCATGTCACACTATTGTAAGATCCCTCATGTCACACTATTGTAAGATCCCTCATGTCACACTATTGTAAGATCCATGATCATGTCACACTATTGTAAGATCCCTCATGTCACACTATTGTAAGATCCCTATTGTAAGATCCCTCATGTCACACTACGATCCCTCATGTCACACTATTGTAAGATCCCTCATGTCACACTATTGTAAGATCCCTCATGTCATCATGTCACACTATTGTAAGATCCCTTATGTCACACTATTGTAAGATCCCTCATGTCACTCTATTGTAAGATCCCTCATGTCACACTATTGTAAGATCCCTCATGTCACACTATTGTAAGAAACCTCATGTCACACTATTGAAAGATCCCTCATGTCACACTATTGTAAGATCCCTCATGTCACCCTATTGTAAGATCCCTCATGTCACACTATTGTATGATCCCTCATGTCACACTATTGTAAGATCCCTCATGTCACACTATTGTAAGATCCCTCATGTCACACTATTGTAAGATCCCTCATGTCACACTACGATCCCTCATGTCACACTATTGTAAGATCCCTCATGTCACACTACGATCCCTCATGTCACACTATTGTAAGATCCCTCATGTCGCACTATTGTAAGATCCCTCATGTCATCATGTCACACTATTGTAAGATCCCTTATGTCACACTATTGTAAGATCCCTCATGTCACTCTATTGTAAGATCCCTCATGTCACACTATTGTAAGATCCCTCATGTCACACTATTGTAAGAAACCTCATGTCACACTATTGAAAGATCCCTCATGTCACACTATTGTAAGATCCCTCATGTCACACTATTGTAAGAAACCTCATGTCACACTATTGAAAGATCCCTCATGTCACACTATTGTAAGAAACCTCATGTCACACTATTGAAAGATCCCTCATGTCACACTATTGTAAGATCAAATGGTAAAGGTAATAATGTATAAATGTTAATTTTTAAAAGTACAGCAGTATAAATGTTACTTTTTATTGTACTTTCTGTTCTTTCTCCTTACAGTACAGCTGTACACTTTACAACATGGTTACGTTCTACAGTGCTGATATCATGCCTGACCCTGCAGCCAGATGTTCTGATGTGACAACAAACATCCATGAATTTTTAACATGGCTTGATAATACACCGTATGTACAATTATATGCACACTATAACATGTACATGATGTATAACTATATATCTTTTATGATTTATTTTGCCTTAAATCATTGTGAAATTGATATATTTAAATATTTGCACCATGAGTGTCCATGATTGGTCAATATAAATCTTGTACTGTTGTCTGTGTGGCTTAGAGGAACTTAGAGCACTCACAAACATGTTTAACCCCACCACATTCTTTATGTGCCTGTCCCAAGTCAGGAGCCTTTAGTTTAGTGGTTGTTGTTGGTTCATGTCTGTCATTTTTGTTTTTCGTAAATTGTTTTGTTATAAATTGGCCATTAGTTTTCTTAATTGAATTGTTTCATATTTTTGATGTCGGGGGCCATTTATAGCCGACTATACGATATGGTTTTTCTCATTGTTGAAGGCCGTACGGTTGCCTATAATTGCTTACATCCCCTTCATTTGAACTTGGGTGGATACTGTGAAAGTACTTATATTCATGGGTATCAATTTTCATGGTTTGAGCAAAAGTTACATGTTTGTGGGTGCTTAAATTCATGAATTTTAGTTTTCTGAATAAAAATTCAGAGAAGAATTTGAATCCATCAGAAACGAAGATTCTTGAAAATAATCATATGTTGTTTTACAATGATTTGCAGGACATTGCAAACTGAGGTGTTCATTTTCACTTACTTGTTTGTCTTTCATTACTGACAACAGTCATGGCAGTCATCAAATTTTTAATAAAACAATTGATTCGGAAATAAGCTGATCTATCTATGCTTACATATTGTCAAATAATCAACAGATTAATGATCATAAAAGGTGTTAATTTGGCAATAAACATGTCACTTAAAGAAAACAGTTGCATAAAAAAATGCTGCAAATGTACTTTGAATTGTAGAATTTATTCTAATCAAATAAGAAGGCAATCCCAATATGAAATTATTCTTTTATATATGAGAATTTTGAGAAGATAACATGTACACTTCATCATCGCATATCATCACCAGAAGTCTGACGTTCATAGATCAAAAAAAAATTTCATGACAATTAAAAGGTTAACAGACATACAATTTAGGTTCTTTAAAAACTAAATGGGTAAAACCCTGTTTGAAGTTGTATATATACATGTATACTTCATGGTGTGTTTACCGATATTTGATGTATTCTCTAGATTATACGCCGTATCCATGTAGTCAAATCTACATCGTGTACATGGGATCGTTCCTTGTCATGATTTGGAAAACAGTTGTTATACATGTATTTTGTTGGACACTTAAATTCGTGGATGAAGCCATCCACGAAAACCATGAAAATTGGTACTCCACGAATAAAAGTACTTTCACAGTAGTTGTCGCATTGGCAATCATACCACATCTCCTTATTTTTATATTAGATTCAAAATACTGTTATTGGTTGACTTCCATCAAAGTGGTAAATAGACTAAAATGATAGAATCGTCTGTTGGTATATTTTTTCAACATTGTAAGTTTAAAATGTTTACACAACATGCACTAACATGACTAATGAGGAATGAAAATTATGCATATCACTTTGTTTTAAAATTTTAACCATTTATTGATAAACCATACATGGCGATGCTATATACATTGTAGAGCCAATAACAATATTATTTCTCCATTGTAATGACTGATACAATGTATGTAGTACATGAAGTAATTGATTGTTTTACATTGGACCTTAACCATTTTAACACCAGTTACCAGCTGGTTACAAATATGTCTGATATTCACATGAGCAGGTGAAAAAGCAGTGAAATAAGAAAATATATCTAAATATAGGACTGATTGACATCATTTTTGACATTTTGTTATTGTTCCTGCTAAGAAAATTGTTTATTGTTGCTACATACATGTACAATGTACATATACATATACATACACGTATTCTCAGATTTTTTTTTTTTTTTTTTGGTATTTGCCTAGTTGATAGAAATAGATATGCATCAAAATATCATGTGCATTTAAAGAATGAACTATATTTCAATTTAATAGGTGGTAATTCAATGATAGACAAACTTGCTTAAACATGTTAAATCCATGTCATTTGAACTCTGGTGGACGGTGGATTATATTAAAGTTGTCTCATTGGCAATCATGCCACATTGCCTTATTATTTTAATTGTCAAAAAGATTGTAAAAACAATTGGTAATAACAAAAAAAAAAATTTTTCTCACATCTATTTGGAAACATAATACAATCATGACAATGTAATAGGTTGGTCAATTCCAAACAATACTGTAAATTCAGAAATTATTGTGTGCATTAATTATTGCGATTTTGTCATTTTAGATTAAAATGCGATTTTAATTTTTGCGATATTGAGAAAAATCCTGTTTAAATCATATAAAAAATTTCAAAATGCGAATTTAAATTATTGCGATTATAACCCTGTCACATTTTTCGCAATAATAAAAACATCGCAATAATTTCTGAATTTACAGTATTATTATCCAGGGGTGGTTAAATTTTGATTGACGCCACTTGTAATTGTACAATTGTTTAATATGACTATTGTCTTTAACCAGATTTTCGAAAGAAAAATCAGTTATTGATTTGAGGATGTACAGCGGGCGGGTGGGCAAGCGGGCGGCTGCCCAACAGTGTCTGTTCATCAACATGAAAACGCTTTGACGAATTTTTTTCAAATTAAGATGCGTTATTTCCTGTGACTAAATGAAGGTCAAGATCAATTTTCACGATTTTAGCTTCTCTCATTGTTGAGTTATAGCCCTTTCCCAAGAATTCAATTTTTGATGAAATTCTTATTAATTACTCCATTCTGTTCGAAGGGAAATTACTCATTTTTTAAAAGATTTTTAAAAGACATTGTATGAATGATAAATGACATTTTGGATTTTTTTTTCTTTTCTTTGGTAAATTGTTTGAAGAATTTTGTGGTAGGTTTGTTTGTTATTCTGTATAAACTAATTTTCTGAATGCTATATATATAATTTTTTTTTTTGATGAAGTGAACTCCTTTATATTGATAATAATCTATTTTCATTAAAGGGTATATTTGGTTACATTACATTGTGTAGATAAAGTTGATGACATTGATAGATAAGTTGCAGATCTATATTAGTTTGTGACAAATGAAAGAAAAAATATTTGGAACTATTAATTATATTTGATTATAATTTGAAAATAGATATACATTGTGTAACATAATATCTAATTTAAGAAAATAGTGGTTAAATCATATCTAATTTTAGAGAACTATGTGTTCATAATTATACCCCCGCTTTAAAAAAGGGGGGGTGGGGTTATACTGTTTTACCTCTGTCAGTCCGTCCCATGAATATTTTTCGTCGCATCTTTCTCAGGAACTACATTACAAGGATTTCTGAAATTTGGTTTTAGGGTTTATATGAGTCAGCTATACCGTGTGATGTGTTTTCAGATTCATCACTCAACAACTTCCTGTTTACCGAACACTTGTATCATTTTACACATGATAGCCAAGTTGAAAGTTTTCGTCACATTTTTCTCAGGAACTACATTACAAGGATTTCTGAAATTTGGTTTTAGGGTTTATATAAGTCAGCTATACCATGTGATGCGTTTTCAGATTCATCACTCAACAACTTCCCGTTTACCAAACACTTACATATTTTTACACTATTAAAATTATCCACTTGCGGCAGGGGTATCATCAGTGAGCAGTAGCTCACAGTTTCACTCGTTTATTCAGTTTGAGTTATTTCCCTTTGAACAGAAAATTATATGGATAAAATTAAACTGTGTTTCATTTCAACATAAATTAAACAATATAGGGTTCTTTCAAATGCTGAATCTAAACCTGTATTTAAATATATGATTTTTGGGCCCAGTTTTCAAGTTGCTTCAAATCAGGGTCCAAAATTAAACTTTGTTTGATTCAACAAAGATTGAATTTATGGGGTTCTTAGAAATGCTGAATCTAACAATGTACCGGTATTTAGAGAATTTGGATTGTGGGCTCCTTTATCAAATTTGTCCACATTGAGGTCCAAAAATTGAATTCTTGGGGTTCTTTGATATGCTGATTCTAACAATGTACTTAGATTTTGGGTATTGGACCATAATAGGTAAATGTCCAATTTCAAATTTTTTAGTTCTTTGACCACATTCATTTTGTGTCACAAACCTATGCTGTGTCAAATATTCAATCACAATCCAAATTCAGAGCTGTTTTAAGCTTAAATGTAGTGTCCATTATTGCTCAACTGTTCAAGGTTCGACCTCTGCAGGAAATCTGGTTTGCTGTCACTCTGACAGCCTCTTGTTTTTTTATTGTTTCAGTTTAGTAAATTATAATTCAATGTTAGATAAACTTGTTTAAATCCACATCTTTTTGAAATCTGGTGGATTTTAAGTTGTCTCATTGGCAATCATGTCATAACAAAATATTTTTTTCACTTATCTGTTGAAAATGTTAAAGGGTGGTCAATTACAAACAATATTACTATCCAGAGACAAAATGTGACATTTTGATTGACACCAATTAGTAATTGTACTAATGTTTAATTTGACTATTGTCATTTTTTTATTGTAGATTTATTGGTGGAGGAGGAGAAACATGTAGTCACATAGCTGAAGGACTTAGTACAGCTCTTCATGTTTTTGATGACTTAGCAAAACTTAGAAAACAGTCTGTTGGGTAAATTCATTGCTTCTCTTTCATGAAAATGAAATGATACACAATAGAATATATGAATTTATGATATTTTATTACCACATATACAAATAGCCTACAAGTTGACTCCTCTGGTATAAAGTGTACTGTATGTATACCAAAATAAACTGGCAAAAATAGAATCTCAAATAAGCTTTTAGTAAAGGAATATTAAAAAACCAAAGACTAATATTGATAACAATTCTGACTGAAGCTGGATCATTGGAAAGTAATGGCGAAATAGACCCATAGACCAATATACCAATATTGATTGAATTTGGATCATTGGAAAATATAGGTGAAATAGACCTTTAGACCAGTAAGCCAATATTGATTGAATCTAGATCATTGTTGAATAATGGTGAAATAGACCAATAGGGTTACCATAATTGATAGAATCTGGATCGTTGTAAAATGTTGGTGAAAAAAAGCCTTATTGCTAAATCTGGGTCATCATGATCATTTTGTGAAATATTGATGAAATACATGTATACCCTTAAACCAATATTGTGGATTTATTTATTTTCATGGGTACCAATTTTCATGGATTAAAGAAACATTGTATTTATGTGGATATTTACTTCATGGTTTTGCCAAAGTCAACAAACAAGCCTATAGGAAACTAGTACATTGTTGAACATTAAAATTCATGGTTAACCTCTACCCAAAAAATCAACGAAAATTGGTATTTCACGAATAATAATGAATCCACAGTATACTATTATTTACTGAATCTGGATGATTGTGAAATGTCAGTGAATTAGACCCTTAAACCAATATACCAATATTGACTGAATCTGTGTTATTGAACAAATTATAGATAGACTTTTATTACTGTTAAACATCTGTAAACTACTGATGCTTCTAATGTATAGAGACCTGGTACACACACACTTAGATTACTGATTCATATTTAGTCTGGCAGATACACTGAAAATTATCCAATAAGATGCAACAAACATTTATATGTCTATGTTGTGAGAATGCTTTACTTTATGGTTAAGTGTTATTGTGGTAGTTTGTTCACCTCAAGTGTTGAAGATTGTTGGGTCTCCCTCCAGCAGCAGAAAACCAAAGACTTTATGATAGAGGCACTGTTCCTCTGCCAGGTACGTCAGCTCAGAGTCAGAATAATGAGGCTCTGTAGGGTCATATTTCTCCCTGTAAAATGTTACTTAGTACCCTACCATGTAAAAATTCCAGCCTCAGCATATGCAAGGTAACTTTATATCACATTAATATGTCATCATCCTGAATGTGTATGTAATATTTGCCACTGGAATTAAACAGCAATCAGTCAATAACATTTTACTCAATAACCTGTTAATAATACTTTCCTCTTTATATTACAGAAACCAAGTGTCCAAACATTGCATCTTGGTATGTAATTCCCCACCTTATCAGATGCCTAGTCAAGAAAGTCCAAGATACTTAGGATTCACATGTGATCAGCTGGCAGGCATGATGGCTCAGGTAACCAGCTTTAAAATCAGTTCATTAGAATCAGTTCAGAGAACTAGTACAAGATTACATCTATGTGTTACATGAATGAGTATGCTTTATAAATAGAATAAAGCTAAAAATTTGGAAAGTTGATAAAGTTAACATTACAGGATGAAAATCAGAGGCCTTAATAAAAAATTTATGCTATATTAACATATGTTTGTTGATGATGACTTTATAAAGATATGTTTTGTATTTCAGAGGAGAATCAATCTGAGTATTATTTCCCCAAGGAAGATAGCAGCATTACAGAAGATGTACGAAGAGGTAAAATATAGTTCTATAAATTAGATATAAGAAGATGTGGTATGAGTGCCAATGAGACAACTCTCCATCCAAGTCACAATTTGTAAAAGTATGAATTATATATAAAACCATTTTGAACCAGGTTTACGGAAAAATATGGTCATTAATTTTAGGTAGTTCAGCATACATGCAGCAGATTCTTGAAAGCTATGTGACCAGTTCTTTTAAAATCTTAATTTGTTGATTCTCATGGCAAATGGAGTTCAAACTGAATGTTTACAATTTTGACTCTCGACATTCACAAGTTATGGTCATTGATTGATTAAAAAATGGTGCTTTATGTTGTTTGTGAGGAGATGTAGTATGATTGCCAATGAGACAACATTCCACCAAGATCCAAAAGACCTGTTTGCGAGGATTATAACTCACAGTACAGCCTTGATACAATCAAATGACAAAATAGTGATATTACAGATACAGAATGTGGCTGGATAAATATAAAATTAGAAGATGTGGTATGATTGTCAATGAGACAACTCTCCTCCAGAGACCAAATGAAATATAAGTTTACAACTATAATTAGTCACTGTACAGCCTTCAACAATGAGAAAACCCCATACCAAATACTGTAAATTCAGAAATTATTGCGTGCATTTATTATTGCGATTTTATCATTTTAAACTAAAATGCGATTTTAATTTTTGCGATATTGAGAAAAATCCTGTTTAATTCATATAAAAAATTTCAAAATGCGAGTTTAAATTATTGCGATTATAACCCTGTCGCATTTTTCGCAATAATAAAAACATCGCAATAATTTCTGAATTTACAGTAGTCAGCTTTAAAGCATGTTGGTGAGACCTCAACTCTGCCCTAACCTGGGACAGTGGTGTAACTGTACAACATTAGAACAACTGTAAAAATCAGTTGTAAATAGCTTAACTCGTCAGATCTGCATGAAGCACAAATAACACCAAATATAAAGACTTAAAAGTAATAATCTTGTTTGATTATTGTTTCTCTTATGATGTTAATTTTGCTTCACGAAAAATGATTAGTTATTAGGAATTTTAATAAATGTTTTATGATTTTAAAGTCAAGCAATCAAGAAATGCCAATGATGTCCAGTAATAATTTCACTGTTGATCCACGACATCATATATTATTACATGGCTATCAGCTGGAAGGTAATTATGTTACTTTTATTAATTCTATAGATTTATTTTGCAATAAGTTGTGTATACTCTGGATTCATTATTATTTGTTGAATATCAATTTTCATGGAATTCATTGTTACAGGTGAACCACGAAATTAAAAGTTCAATGAATAACACATTTCCTATAGTCTTATATGTATATGCAAACTTTGGCAAAACCTAGAAATCAAATATCCTCGAAAAATGCAATTTTTTCTCAATCCACGAAAATTAGTACCCACGAAAATAAATGAATCCACAGTAGATTGTGATCATTTGTTAGAGAAAAGAAGAATTTTGGGTGAATGGGCAGGAAAAAACATTTCCAAAGATATACTATGAATAAACCATTGTTTTAAAGGAAAGACTTTTACTGCTGTTCATCATTTTGAAAGTATACATTGTCAAGTTTTAGAACTCATACATCACAGCAAAACCAAAATGATAGTAATATGTAGAAAGTGCTAAATAATGAAACTAATATTGGTACACAACTGCATGTCAAAAACACTTTATTTGACTCTCCTGTTATAAAGATTTATTAGGGAAATTTAGAATACAGTATAATAAACAAAAATAAATCATGAAACAAAATAATGATCATAATGATGATGAATAAATGAAATAAGTGTAGAAATACATGTAGCCCTGTATTTATATCAATATATGTTAAAACAGATGGCAGTGAATTCAAGAAAGTTTCTCATTTTGTATTAAATGCATTGTGTTGATATTTTCAGAGAGATCTTTGAGTCCGTCAGTAGATTCTACCAAAGATATTAAATTAGACCAAAGTATGTATATTAGTATTATTAGACATTGAAAATGGTTACCATTAAAAAAAACAGTAGATTTAACATTGTTATTTTAGTCTTTATACATTTATATGTACTCAATACCATATTTAACTGTAAGTAAAGTATATATTATATATGAGCAACTTGGTTAAGATTTTTCCAGACCTAATGATAAAAGAGAGGCTAAAGATACCAAAGGGACATTCAAACTCATAAGTCAAAATAAACTGACAACGCCATGGCTAAAAAAGAAAAAGACAAACAGACAAACAATAGTACAGAAAACACAACATAGAAAATTAAAGACTGAGCAACACGAACCCCACCAAAAACTGGTGATAAGATATGTATTTGCTTAAATACTACATGTTAGTTCCATAAGTCATAGATGAGGAGAGTACACTGTATGCATTACACTGATAAATATACCGAACAAGTCAAAAGAAATTTTGAATGCAAGAAATTACTTTTTGAATAGTATTTAAATGAACCTCTAGTTACCAGGACACAAAATAAACATTAAACAAGCAAATACAAAAATGTATTTTATAAAATTTGGAGAATAGTTATCTTATAATGGATTGTTGATGACTGAATTAATATTATTTGCTTTATATTTTTAGGATCTGATGTTTGTCCATCCCCACCTTTTTCCATTCCAAATGCTCCACTCAGTCGTGCCTATTCACCTTCAAGTACAGTTGTGTTTAGTCCAGCAGATGGAAATCAGTCTCAGCCACAGGATCAAAATCTCTTCAAAGTTCCCTCTACAGCACCCTCATCAAGTAAGTGTGTCATGTGTCAGGATTCAAAATCTCTTCAAAGTTCCCTCTACAGCACCCTCATCAAGTAAGTGTGTCATGTGTCAGGATTCAAAATCTCTTCAAAGTTCCCTATATAGAACTCTCATCAAGTAAGTGTGTCATGTGTCAGGATTTAAAATCTCTCCAAAGTTCCCTCTACAGCACTCTCAAGTAAGTGTGTCATTTTTCAGGATTTAAAATCTCTTCAAAGTTCCCTCTACAGCACCCTCATAGAGTAAGTGTGTCGTGTGTCAGGATTTAAAATTTCTTCAAAATTCCCTCTACAGCACCCTCATCAAGTAAGTGTCATGTGTTAGGATTCAAAATCTCTTTAAAGTTCCCTCTACAGCACCCTCATCAAGTAAGTGGACCATGTGTCCTGGTTCAAAATCTCTCCAATGTTCCCTGTACAGAACCCTTATTAAGTATATGTGCCATGTGTCAAGATTCAAAATCCTTAAAGTTCCCTATGTGATGTGTCCTGGTTCAATCCTTAGTTAGGTCAAGCCACATACTTTAAAATTGCTGGGTCATAATAATGTGTCTGTTCTGTTTAGAATGGCATGTCCTAATGCAAATTGTTGCCTTGATATCTAGAATGTTGAAAATCCTTCTAAATAGGTAGGTTTAGTACAAACAGGGTTCCATATAGTTTTAAAACATATAATATATAACAAGGATAACAGGTATCACCAAAAATATCAGTCCGTACAACATACAGTACGGGTAGAGACTTATTACTATAAATAACGGACTGGGACATGTCGGAAATGAATAATCCGACATTTTTATGGTAGGTAGTATGGTCATTAATCAACAGATCCAGGTGTGAACCGTAATATAATTGTCCTTTCATCTCAATCCGTGCTACAAGATTATTACGCTTCACTGATTTCAGAATCAGGTTACCTGTGATTTAAACCTCTCAGTCACTTTATTGATTAGTTCTACATCGTATTTGACATAAAATATTTTTACAGGTGAAGTACTGGAAACAACTTTGTTTTAATAAAAATAGCCTATTTTTTTAATTATGGCTTTTTGTATTTCAAATGCTGTTTATATTCCTCAAAATATTATTTTCTATGTTCCCTGTTTTTTTTTTGTTATGTATGTTTTTCGTATTTGTTGGCATACAGTTTTTAAAATATTTTCTCTTTAATTTCTGGAAGGTTATTTTTGTTTTACTGATTTATTTTCCACGTAAACCCATTGATTAGCAGAATGATGTGCAAAGTGCTGCTGCATACGTTTTAGTTTGACAACACTACATTTGTATTTAATATTCAGTCTGCGTTGGGTCAGTTCTGAAATAAAAATAATTACAGTGAGCAATAATTGTATACTAGTAGTTAGGTGATTCTTTATAATTGTGAATTTACTTTTTACTGTAAACAAATATTGTCCGAAAGTTGGTGATATATAACTAAAGTAGTACGCAAATAATAACACTAGAAGAAGATAACGATATTTCTCGGGGATTAGGTTTATTTTGATATTTCTGTGTTTGTTAAATATGCATGAAATAATTGCCACTGACACGAATGGACATTAAAACTAGAAGCATTCAATCGTTTGATGACCAGTTAATTAAATATTTACTATGATTTGTAGTCTTAAAGAAATGCAATTTCTCCTATTTAAATAATTTTATGGTGCTGCATTGACTCTTAATTGCATAATATTAATTTACGCACAATGCATGTTAACTTGCATGTTGTATTTTTGACACCAATCTAAAAAAAATATTTGCCGTGAAAAGACAATTCCATGATACACTTATCAGTGATCAACAGCATGTGGTTGAACTTTGTACTTGACTTCACTCACAATACAATGTTGAATGCTAAAAATAGCTGGGATTAATTTTGTCAAATGCACGTGATTTTCATATGGCGGGAAATATCGTTACAGTTAACACAGGTGACCTTACTGACCGACCGTGGGAAAATCCATTCATGATTTAATTTGATACGTAATGATTGGCAGTATTGTGCGTTAGTTTTGAGGCTCATGATCGAGATCCATTAATAATTGATTTACCAGAATAGAAAATTTAATCCTTGTAATTATAAACAAAACAAGCTTTAGTCTTCTTTTACTATTTTATTTATTATATTTATTAGTCAACACCCAGATTCCTATTTAAATAATTCTCGGACACCTCCTTTAAAGTTCGGGAATTATACAATTTAAACTGCCGGCATCGATTTACAAAATCTTTCTGACTGCACGAGCTTTAGAGAATGGCTAGAAATACGACGCAAAAGTAAAGACGGCTGATCGTGAATAGTGTTAAACTTTGATCTTCATGTATTGATTGACACAATTCGTAAAATATGTTTATAAAAAACACGATTTTCATTAAAATTTCAAACATGGAAATAGAAAGGCAATATCTTTGTTATAATACAACAAGTGTCAACAAATCTGTTATTTCCATTATATGTAAATTTATTAACAAACAAAATTTAAAATAATGCTGGATCATAGAATATTGACGTGCATATGAAAAGTTTTTTTTATATAAAAACTAGGAATCGAAAGATGATCACTGCGTTATAAATATTGTAAAAAAACAATTGTTTCAAAGAGATTAACGGGAAATATATGTCAAAATAGAAAGCACGGATGATCTGGCTGATTAAATTGTTTTACTTGTGAGAAATGATTGACTGGTATGAATAGACGTAGAGGCTCCGACGGGGAACGTGGTATCGTAAGGAAAAGAACAGTTTATTCACAATGCCTATATCCAATTTGTTTATATACTTTATAAATATGATATGTTGGCCTTATACTTAAAATTGTGTTTCTATTAATAACTTTAAGGGAACAGGACGTTAAAAGGGGGAAATATTGTAACCATCAACGAAAACTCGTATAATTTACGGGATTGATGTCTCAACATTTTGATTAAAACTTCGATTGAAAACAGTCCTGGTTGTTATAATTTTGAATAAAATGAAATATTTACGGTTTACAAATACAAATACAAATAGTTTATTGGCACAAACACAATTATTATAATTGGCAACACATTTTTACAGTACGTACATTGTTAAAAATCGTCTTTCTTTCATTTTCAAGTTAAAAAAAAGTTGATCCCATATTCATGATATTACATTTTTATTTTTATTGTAATTTTTTCTTTGAATACAAAACAATATTTTACATTTATTATCTATCCTCCATAAATACTAAAATATCTTTACAGGTAAAATTTAATTCTAATCAACCTGGTACAGATTGATTTACGACCTTCCACTCGGATATTGTACAGGTTAATATCACAGCAGGTGTTAATTACACTGAGACAACTGTCCCGCCAGTCTGACATCTAGACGGATTAAGACATCCATAATAATAAGTCTCTACCCGTACTGTACCACGTCAACTGAAACTCATCTACAAAAAAAAAAAACAGATGTTTAAACAAAGAGGCACAACAATGAATAACACATGATCCAGGTAGCCTGACATGGTACATTTTCCCTCATGAATGTGTATATTGAATCTGTCCTGGATGTTATACATCCATCAATCAATCTTCAGTCTTTTAGAAAATGTTTTTATTTTCTGTTGATTAACAAAAAATTATTTAATTTTGAATATGAACAATAGAAATTCTTTGACTTCATCATCCAACACAGCTTCTGATCATGCAGTCGTATAATAAAAGGTTCTATCATAATTTATAGATATGTACTTTATAGATCCTAACATGCAGTCTAATCTCCAAAGCATGCAGTCATCACCATACTCCGCCAATTCACCAATCAACCAACCTCCAACATCACAATTCCAACAACAACAACAACAGATTTCAAACTTTGGACAACAGCCAAATCAGACAACTCAGCTTACAATTCAAGGTCAACAAATAGGACAACATCCATCACAACAACAACAACAACAACAGCAGAGCCAACAAGCACAACAGCCCCAAATGTATGGTCAGGGTCAGAATCAACAACAACAACAACAACAGTTTCCAAATCAGTTTGGTGGTTTGGACAACATGGGACAACAGGTATGGGCATGTTAATTTGATATTGATTTCTTGATTTACAAAGCAGAAATTACATAGATAAATAAATATTTTTGTTTCACCTCAATGAGGTCTGGGAGGCCAGACTTAGGCATGCTGTTTCCGGTATCAGTGGCATCAACATTTAATTTCAACATTTGCATACAGGCGAGGCATATCTAGGTATCAACAGTTTATTTATATTTTGTATGTGTTTTTAACTGACCATGCATGTTTTTGTTTTGTAAAACAAGAAATCTTCAGAAGTTTTATTCTTTGTGAACCTTCATATTTTTAGTTACATAAACCCATCAATTTTTTATGTAATTCATTTAGGCAAAACATCATCTTTTATCTTCTGAGGCTTTTTTAACGCATGAAAAAATAAAAACAAGAAAATGAAGAGTCTAAAAACCTGAATTGCAATATTTTGAAATTAAAAAGGAGATTAATTTTAGTTTTCAGGATGTGAAAAATTTTACAAACAAAAAAATTATGTAAAATGTTTAGACTGTAAAGATTTTATAACTTTATTAATATATAATAACTGATGCCAATGCCTGAGAAGTTAGAACCATTGTTTGCATATTTTTTCATTCATTTTTTTTCATTTATTGTGTGTACAAAAAGTGGTTCTGTTTCACTGTTCTCAATTTAGAAGGTTACAAAGTGAAACAATAACCTTTTGTCATTTTTAGTGAAATTGAATTGAATACTTATTTTTGTGGTAAAATTTTCAAATTTGATATCAGTTATCATCATACTTTGTATGAAGTATTTTAAGTACATATAGCTCTACTAATGCCATCATTAGTGTGATAATACAAAGAAAAAGAGGATATTGAAATAGAAACATGTTATATTTATCAACTTTTTGCCATTAATTTACAAAGAACTGAAATTTAAATATATTTATGGACGGATTAAAAAAAGTCAATATGCCTTAATTGTGGAATTATTTTTAGAATTTAGGTAAATTTGTTACAGAAGAAAAGGATTTTGAAATTTTGACATGAATATGAATTTTACGTTTTTTTTTTGACAAAAAGTTGGTACCACCTGTAGAGAAGTTTTCATTTTTTAATACACTTTGTTTTACAATATTGGGGATTTATTTAATTTCACGAATATTAGTTATATGGGTTTTAGATTAACATTTTTTGGTTAATCAGATTAGTGTTCTTCCCAGTTTTGTTTTCTTATAGCACCATGGGATTTCAAATTATGCAAATAGCACTGTTTTTCTAAAAGTATAGCACCACATTTATACTATAATCAATTCAGATAGCACAATGGCAAAATATATTGCAACATGTTACCATGGTGCTATAACACATGTACAAGGTCCTGTGGGGATTTTTTTTTTATGGTTGCATCTTTGACACACAAAATTAAATCCTAGATCATGGAGTAAGCATTAAAGATATCTCCATGACAAGGTATGACTCCTCCCTTTTATTATTTATACGAAAAGGTTTATATTTGACATAGAACAACTTACATTACTAAATTGAGAATCATGAGAATAGGCAGTGCAATTTCAATATGAATTCTCAAAGTACTATGTTTATTTGAAAGAGAAAGGAGTAGGCCCAGTAAGACCCCTTTTTGGCCCCAAAATATAGCAGTTTTACAAAATTGTTAAAATGTAAATTTTTAGCTATTTATTGGAAAGAAGAATACTTCTGTTACATAAATATGGATTGTTTTTGACAATACAATGCACATGTATCGGGTAATAGCATCATTAAGTCATGCTAAATCACTGAAATCTTCGAAATTTCAGCATTTTGGTTAATTTTATGACGGTTTCCGTCTGAAATGAAAGTGGCCGCATTTGTGTTCATTCTTAATATTTAAATGTAAGTTGTATTTGATGATAATACATAACATATATAAAGGTTGAGAATGAACACGGATGCGGCCACTTTCATTTTTGACAAAAACCATCTGAAAAGTGACATATTATGGCATATTTGATAGATTTTTCATATTTGAGCTTGAATTTGAGCGTCTTTAATGACTAAATCAGTTCAAATCTTTCACTTAAACTAATTGAATCGACTGAAGTAGACACTTAAGTGTTTAAAAAGTGTCCAAAATGTTTCATCAAATGAACCTGAATTTTGAGGCCAAAATCGGCCCTTACCGGACCTACTCCTTTATTATAAAACCATAAAATTTTGCACCATAAAAATTAAGGAACCCATAGTTTTTGCATCCATTCACTAAATTTAAATCCACAAATTAATTAAGTCCTCAAATCACTTAGTATATGTTGTGAATGTGTATATGATGAAAAAGAATTATTACTGGGTAGTATATCTTACCGGACCTACTCCTTTATTATAAAACCATAAAATTTTGCACCATAAAAATTAAGGAACCCATAGTTTTTGCATCCATTCACTAAATTTAAATCCACAAATTAATTAAGTCCTCAAATCACTTAGTATATGTTGTGAATGTGTATATGATGAAAAAGAATTATTACTGGGTAGTATATCTTACCGACCTACTCCTTTATTATAAAACCATAAAATTTTGCACCATAAAAATTAAGGAACCCATAGTTTTTGCATCCATTCACTAAATTTAAATCCACAAATTAATTAAGTCCTCAAATCACTTAGTATATGTTGTGAATGTGTATATGATGAAAAAGAATTATTACTGGGTAGTATATCTTACCGGACCTACTCCTTTATTATAAAACCATAAAATTTTGCACCATAAAAATTAAGGAACCCATAGTTTTTGCATCCATTCACTAAATTTAAATCCACAAATCAATTAAGTCCTCAAATCACTTAGTATATGTTGTGAATGTGTATATGATGAAAAAGAATTATTACTGGGTAGTATATCTTACCGGACCTACTCCTTTATTATAAAACCATAAAATTTTGCACCATAAAAATTAAGGAACCCATAGTTTTTGCATCCATTCACTAAATTTAAATCCACAAATTAATTAAGTCCTCAAATCACTTAGTATATGTTGTGAATGTGTATATGATGAAAAAGAATTATTACTGGGTAGTATATCTTACCGGACCTACTCCTTTATTATAAAACCATAAAATTTTGCACCATAAAAATTAAGGAACCCATAGTTTTTGCATCCATTCACTAAATTTAAATCCACAAATTAATTAAGTCCTCAAATCACTTAGTATATGTTGTGAATGTGTATATGATGAAAAAGAATTATTACTGGGTAGTATATCTTACCGGACCTACTCCTTTATTATAAAACCATAAAATTTTGCACCATAAAAATTAAGGAACCCATAGTTTTTGCATCCATTCACTAAATTTAAATCCACAAATTAATTAAGTCCTCAAATCACTTAGTATATGTTGTGAATGTGTATATGATGAAAAAGAATTATTACTGGGTAGTATATCTTACCGGACCTACTCCTTTATTATAAAACCATAAAATTTTGCACCATAAAAATTAAGGAACCCATAGTTTTTGCATCCATTCACTAAATTTAAATCCACAAATTAATTAAGTCCTCAAATCACTTAGTATATGTTGTGAATGTGTATATGATGAAAAAGAATTATTACTGGGTAGTATATCTGAGTCATTATTTTTTACCTGATCATCATTAGAATTAGATTTATATGTATATATTTGAGTATAGTTCATCTTCTTTAGATATTTCTTCTGTGCTATAATTTAAATCTATGGTATCACATGAATATATATGTCTCCTTACAAATAAAATGAGATGTTTGGTAAGTGTCATTAAAACAGTAACCAAACAAAATTATTAAACAAAAATCTTCTGCCTTTTATATAAGTTTCATAAAAATAAAGCACAGAGTCATGTAGTGTGGTGTTTTGTGAAAACGAGGACATAACATTTTCATTACAAAATATTTTAGTAATATCTGAATTGTGTGTTAAAAATAGTTACTCCAATCAATTAAATTCAAAGCAGAATATTACACAGATCAGATTATATGAAATTGAAGTATACTCAAATAATTTCCTTATTTTCATTTACTATTAAGTGATAGTTTATGTAGGTAATTTCCTCTCTGTGCCATTTAAAAACTGTGATGTAAAGATAGACATTTAGTATCATAAAAAAACAATATTATAAAGCAAGGAGAGGGAAGTACACAGTGAATTTACCAGTGCATGGTGGTGGTTGATCTTAGTCAATCAGATGTTTTAATTCATTGATTATCATCCTCTTTATATAAAACATTTAACAGAACCAGTTCCATTCCATGTCTGCATCTGTTACCATGCCAACCAGTATGCATGTGTCTCATCCTGGTATGGCACAGCGTTCCCAGGTATATTTAAATTGACAGATTTGGAGTTAGATTAGTAACTGATTTTAATGCATGTTGTAGATTTTGTTAGCTTACACTAAGTTTGAATTCATGTCACCAAATGCAGACTTTTATTGGGAATTCTCTTTATATATTATATGCAGTCTATTCTTTTTGTGACAAGCACAGATATTGGAATTTTAACTATTGTTCACTGTTTGTCCGACAAAAAGTGAACAATTAATATTGCAATGAGCAGTTTTATAATGAATAAGTAATTTCCAATCCAATTTAAGCTAAAATTTTCACTTGAAAAATTAAAAGACATTTGATTAGATTTGATCAAATTGTATTTGTCATAACAAGGGTTGACTGTATACAATATGTTATCTCTCTTAACAATCCACTGATCTGTGTATGAAAGGCTGTTTCCATTAAATTGGTTCTTCGAAGGTAAAAAATTCATACACAAGAAGAAAAATATCCATTGTATTATTTTCACAAAAACCCATTTGCAGCAGATATTGAAACATTGTCACTAAGCTTGTGAACTAATGCTTGTACTGGTCCAAGGGTTCCATTTTAATTTATTTTGTAATAATGCTTTTATGTGCTTTTGAATTAATCAGCAAATATGAAGTGATATGGCAAAAGAAATAGAAACTATTTTTCTTAAATTTTTCATTTCATGGTGATCTGATAAAATAGAACTTGGTTGCCCATGGCAATAATTCATGATTCTGGAAATACAGAAATGCTATATTAGAAATTTTAAAAGTTTGCAGGACATTATTATAAGTTTTCAATTGGACATATCAGTAATTTCCTCAAGGCCAGGGAAGCTTTTTGTCTGATTTCTTTTATTGACTAAATGTTTTCTGGAGTAACATATTTTTCAGGATTCCTTGATTTTGGTCTTGCTTTTCATGTCTTCCAACAGCTACAATTTTTTGTACCAATGTTAAATCATCTTTTTACATTGTTTTACAAAGTTTAAAATTATTTTTGCTTTTAACAAATCTTATATCAATATTGCTGTGGCCTTAATAGAATTATATCTGTCTATATCAACCAGGGTAACAGAAGCTTTGTGTGCACTAGCTGTGATCAGTCCATGATTTATCAACTATTATTGATATTTACTATGAGATAACATTGTTTTTATTTCAAAGCCTGGTGTAGGTGATAGTCCATTTGGTTTTACACAGAACAAAATGAACATGGGACAACCAACGTCCACCGTGGGGTTTGGTAGCCCAACCATGGCTGATATCATGACAACGCCTTCATCTAATATGGCAGGCAACAGTTTGGTTTCTGTTAGTAGTTTATTATTATATTTGTGGTAATGTCTTGGAAATCGTTAAAAAAAAAGATGAATATGGTTGACTATCTTGCAATTAAGCAAATTCTAAATAATTGTTTTTCCATTATTTTTTTTTCGGCGAAGTGATTTTACTTAGCAAATATTACTTTTCAGTAAACATCCATTTTCAGCTTTTTACATGTTTTGTATGCGTTTGTACTTTTCTGTACTGACAAAAGTTGATTTTCAGTTGAAATGATTACTGTTTGGTATAATTGCTTGTAGAAACCAAATGTTGTTGCCCTCCCTAAAAAAATATTATGTTGATGTAACAATTACTATGACTAACAATTAAATAAACAATCAAAATGAAAGTAAATACTATTCAGTTTTTACATTCTCTTGTTTTAATATGCTTAAATTTATTTGCTTCTTCTCATATTTAGGAATGACAATTTTATAACATGATTAATCATAGAATCTTTATCAGAAAAACTCACCAAAGATACCAGGCTAATGATTTTTGTACGTCAGACACAAGTTTTGTCTACAAACGCTCAAATGAAAAAAGTTAAAATGCCACATAAAGTACATAGTTGAAAAGCATTGAAAACCAAAATTTTTAAAAGGATGATTGAAGTTAAAAGATTTTGAATGTTACAGAGAAAATTTCATAACCCTTTTGATTTATGTTATGCAAATGATTTGTATTAAAGTTTTTTGACTTATTGCTAAAAAAATTGTTACATGCTAAAATCAAATTATTCAGGTGAAATAGCTTGATTACCTGACTTTTATTTTCAATTTACTGTGACTTGACTGTAAGTGTTGCTCTACTACTACACAGTTCATTCTAAATTTGCAGTTTGTTTTATCAAAACAAACTGTTCAACTGGTCAGAAACTTTAACCAACTGCTGTAGAAAAGTGCAAGGTGATAAAATAAAGCATACTGACAATCCTATAAGACTTAAATTCTGATTAATTGCTATTATGAAAATCTGGCTCAAAATGTCTATACATACATGACATATTGTTATTGTAAAGAGTCATTCAAAAGACGGGAGGTATTAATTTTTGAATTGCTGTAAAAGGTCCAATCTAAGCTTTCATACTATATTCTTTTGAGATATCTTTAATATTCATAAGAATCAGACATCCGTTTGAATAAAAAGTTGTTAATAAGTTTCCATGGGAGATAATCTGAAATCATTGATCTTATGAAGTATATATTGATTTTATCTCCCTTTCAAACTTCAAGAGAGCATATTTAAGCTTAAAGTATATTTCAGATACAAGCTTTTTAGATATTCATTTAAAGATGCTTTGTAGCATGCATAGAATATGTAAATGGAAAAAGAGGCTGATGTGCATTTTGTATATTCAGTAAAAAATATACAAAAAAGTATAGATCAGTTCTTAGTTGATAAAAGAAGTGTTTGTTAATGCAACTGTAATTTTTAAAATATTTTTGCAATGATAAATTCTAATTATATTTTTATGTAGATAACTCTATAATCCTACTCATATGCACATTCATTTTAATAGCTTATATAATAATAGCAGTAGCATTCACAGGCTTAAATATTTTGCAGTGTAGTAATAGGAATATATTTGCAGTTGTGATTTTAATGAAAGAAAAACAATTTGAAACAGCTTTGTATTTATCATTAGGGGCCATTCCTTAAACAAGTAACTTTCAAAATTACATGTTATGTTGATAATAAGGCTTTTTTAAATATTACTCATACAAGTTACTTTTGTAAATATCATTTACATAGGTGTCCATACATAAATATTTTAAGAGCTAAAACAAATATGCTCAGACATCTTGTTATTTTTCTCATGAAGCAACAAATATTAACAACACTGAAAAGTCCCAATAGCAGGGATATGTGAAGCACATGTTCCAGATAGTTTTCAACTGACGTAATAAGAGTAAGAGTTATTTCCCTTTGCCACAGTTTTGGAGGTCAAGGTACATAAATTCCTTTATAAATCAATCAAATAAGACTAGTTATATTGATCACAAGATTTTAGAAAAAAATTGTTTTCTGAACAATCTTCATTCATCAAAGCCTTGTATAAAACATCTACAGTGATCTAGTAAGGTTCTCTGATCTGGAAATCAACCAGTTTGTGTCCAAGGGAAATAGCTCAAACCCCAAAAATAATTTTATATTGAAACTGTAACAAAAACCACAATCATACACCTGTAAAGGTTTAGCCCATAAAATATTTTCACATAAAATGAGGAAGTGTTATATAACCCACCTGATGTATAGAATATTTGTAAATGTAACAAATAGCCTTGAAAATATTGTTCTTTAATACAAAGAGTAATGTTTATATATTTCAGGGTGATTTTAACAGAGCCAATCAAGGTAATTGAAAAAAAAATTTTGCAATAATTATATATTTCAAATGCACTTGATAGGGAGCAGTTGTTGCAATCAGATACATTGTGAAAGGGTTTGAATCAAGATAGTATCATATACATTTGAACTTTTGCAAAATAAGTATCTCAAACTGCTTAAATAAAATATGTCTTACTAAGTTACAAATGGTAATTTGAACTCAACCATATTCTTATGGTTCAGTGATTCATACTACTTTATTGGAAGAGGTCAGTTCATTTTCTTGGTAACTGATAAAATATTTGAAAATTTGACATTGATCTCAAAGACTCAACATACCATTTTAAATCATGATAATTATGACGAGAGGCACATCTGCATTTCCACAGGTTTTTTACAACTTTTGATGAATTTTTTAATCCTAGATTTATTCCTATTTTTTCAGCTATCAGAATGCCAGCAATAAATCCTGCCGTCACCATGCAACAGAACATGGGATCATCACAAGGCATCATGTCAACATCCATTCAATCATCACAGCATGGTAACCAGCAGTCTGGTTCCCAACAACCAATCCAGCCTGGATTAGACCCTGGTAACCTTCCCATTATACCAAATCCTCCAATACAAGGACAGAACAAAGACAGGAAAATCATATGGTCAGGTAAATAGGACAAATTAATACATATATTTGCAGTAATGAGTATTCCACGATTTTAGAGTACTTGTGAACTCTGGTTAGAATTACTGCAGAAATGGTTCCCACAACACGAAAAGAAACTTAAGGAGGACAAACTTTTATACAAGCCTGTAGAAAATTTTTTTTTTTCGTTGAACATTTAAATTTGTGGTTCATGCATGAAATCCATGAAATTTGTTTCCCACGAATAAAAATGAATCCACAGTAATATGCATTTATCTAGTCAAGATTTTTTTTTAACCTTAGGCATGCTTGAATATCAGGAGAAGATTAAATCCAATGGTCCAACTCAGCCTAAAATGGCTCGTCAGCTACAGTGTCAACTCTCAATAGGGGCTGCAGACCCAGAAATGTAAGTATTTTGTCCAACACAGCCTAAAATGGCTCATCAGCTACAGTGTCAACTCTCAATAGGGGCTGCAGACCCAGAAATGTAAGTATTTTGTCCAACAAAGCCTAAAATGGCTCGTCAGCTACAGTTTCAACACTCAATAGATCCACAGACCGAAAGATGCAAGTATTTGGTCCACCATAGCCTTAATATATCATCAGCTGCAGATCTTAAATCTGACTGTCCTTATAAATGGCCACAGGTAATATGAGACAGTTATTATCTTCAGAAACTCCCAATGATCTAAGCTTAAAAATAACCCCCCCCCCCCCCCCCCCAAAAAAAAAAAAGATAAAAAAATCATATAAAATTAGTTATTAGGTTCTTAGATAATTAGCTAATTATGTAAAAATGGCAGGGACTGATTGATATTTATTTTATGTATTTGACATCAGTTTTATTGACATCAGTTTTAAAAACTATCTCATCTAAATTTTATTTTAGTGTGTTTAACTTTAACTTTCATCACATGCATGTGCCAAACAAACTTAAATATGTTGGCAACATATCCCAATTTACAATACTTTAATCTGCCCTTCCATTTAGCATCGGCCTTTTCCATCTATGGTTAATTTATTGCACACAGATTGTCAGGTAAAGCTTTTCTTTAATATTTTCATTATAAAGAATTGTACCAAATTGAGTCAAAACTAAGCATACATGTATTTATTACTACTAATCATAAAGTGGGATTCACAACTGATTTTTATGCCCCTGCCGAAGCAGAGGGGGCATTAAGTTTTACCCTTGTCCCTCTATCCGTACGTACGTACGTTCGTCTGTACGTCCCAAAATTGGTTTCCGTTCTCTAACTTAAGTTTGCCTCAACCAAATGTTATGAAACTTAAACACAATACTTATTACCACAATACACAGATCGAGTTTGAATTTTGGTGGCGTCACTTTTACTGTTCTAGAGTTATGCCCTTTACAAATGGAAAAATTGCTAAATTTTTCATTTTTTTTCTAAAAACATCAATGATGTCATTGTTCAAGTAATTTCTAAAATTGGAGTTATCTTCCTTTGTCCATGATTATAGTTGAATCAACTACAATCAATGCTTTATACAATGCAATGTTTAATTTTGCCTTCCACTGATATAACACAGATCAAGTTGAATTTGGGTAGTGTCACTTTAACCATTATTGAGTTATGCCCCTTTATAAATCGAAAAATTGCAAAATTTTTAGTTTCCATTATGTTACTTAAGTTTGCCCCAACCAAACATGAAACCTATACACAATACTTATTACCACAAAACTAAGATCAAGTACAAATTTGGGTAGCGTCACTTTTATTGTTCTTGAGTTATGTCCCTTTATAATGTTGTATGCAAGCGGGGGCATCATCTGTGTCCATGGGGACACATTCTCCATTTATTTCTTTGATTTTCTAACTTTCAAACTAAAAGAGAGATGTCATAAATATTTAAAGAAATTGTATAACATCCATCTTATGGATGAAGTTTTTTCATGACTAATTGTGTATTCACAGTTTTACTGGTTGTATTTCAGCATTACAACAAACTGGCCAAAGGAACTGATTATGCAGTTGATACCACAGTCATTACTTAGCTCTCCACAGTTACAGCCATTGTTTAAAAGTTCTCGCCAAGTGGCGTTTCACTTCGGTAACCACAATGTAGACTCATTAAGGAATCTCCACAGAACAATGGGTTCTGGTTTTGTAAGTAACAAACAACTTAATTGTATGAATATGGAGAAATAATATCATGCATAATTCTAAAAATATATAATAGCTACAATTTTATTTTTATTATTATCAGTTTTGTTGACATTAAAACAACATTGAAGGTTGCAAAAAAGTGAGATAGTGAACTAGATGTTCTGTTCAAAACACATAAACTTATAAAACATAAGGAAATATATTTCATGGTTAATAAAGTTGATTTTATTTAATAATATTTAGTAAACTGAATCTACTATACACCACCTATTTCATTTAAGAAGTGAAGAAATTTAAGGAAAATACATAATGACCTTCCTTGTTTTTTATGACACTACGGTGCATGATCATATCAGGTTTCAAATATAATGATACAGGTTTGTTGTACGGTGTGTTAATATAAGGCTGGTTACTTTATGTGTTAGTGTGTATTATCAGGATGGTTGTATAACTTCAATATGTTTAAATTCAAAGCTGGGTGTTTTATTTCATTGTATGTAACATTTGGGATCGATAGAAATAATATGTCAACTCTCAGACTGGATGTGTAATTTCAGTTATACGTAACTTCAGGTCGGTTGTATATTATAAATGTGTTAGCCTGGTTGTATAAGTTTTCTGTGGGAAACTCTAGACTATTAGAATGATGGCTATATATTTTGATGTAAGACTGGCTGTGGGATTGCAGTGTGTATAATAAATTTTGGACATTATTTTATGTTTAATCAAACTAAATTTCAGGCTGGTTGTGTTCATTTCCCTCCTGGTACCCAGTGTGATGTACGAGTATTACTCCTCCTGTTTAGTAACAAGAGGAAGGCCTTTATAGGACTGATCCCTAATGATCAGAAAGCATTTGTTGATGGTATAAGAAATGTGATATTTACTCATAAACTGAAGGTAAGTTGATTCAGATATTACCATACATAGACTGAAATGCATTCTGATACCTCTTTACAATTATTTTAGATGAGATTCTTAACCAAAGTTTAATATAGCATATTGCATTTTTTGTATCTCCATTTAGTCTAGGTAATACATGTCTGAAGATGTTGTTTTGAATGACTATTTTATCAAATATCAAGTAAATATAGACTTAGAAAAGGGGCTTGGGTTCAGGGAAGGTTTGAATGATTGACTTGTAGGTTTAACTTGATATTTTATTACATAGAAAATAATTAAGATAAAATGAAAAATACTGATAGAATTATATTTTATTCAGTAAGAAAACTAGGCTTTATTTAAAATTCAAACTCTAATAACTTATAGCATTTTACTTGTGTAGAAGTTTTGTAACATTCCTCTGGGGTTTGAAATCATAAGTTTATATAAAAAACAACATTTGTTTAAAGATGCTTAAAGTTTAGAAAAGTATAACTGGTGTAAGTTATCAGAAGATGTAAAAAAGAATTGCAAGAGATTAAACATAAGATTATATGAGTTATTTTATCATGTTTATAAGTCTACAATTGTAAAAAAATTCCTGATAAAAAAGTTTTTTTTCCAACAAAAGTTTATATGCAACAAGCATAGCAGACTTTTAATTCATAAAGACTGAACTCTGGACATTGGAAATTATTTGGTTATAAAGCCATATTTTTAAAGTGGAATTATTTAGTTATAAAGCCATATTTTTAAAGTGGAAATTATTTGGTTATAAAGCCATATTTTTAAAGTGGAAATTATTTGGTTATAAAGCCATATTTTTAAAGGCAACAGCCTAGCCTTTCTCACAGGCAAATTGATCTGATGGAATGATTTAAACAGGTTTCCACTTAAAACATTTAACCACTTTTTCCACATTCTACATGTATATGTTTTGCAGCAAGCACAGGCTCAGCAGCAGGCAGGAGGAAGCCCACAGCAATTTGCACAACCTCAAGGTGGTTTACAAATGGGACAAGGCATGGCAAATTCCCCACAGGTAATTATTGTTCAAACTTATATGTATAATATTTTGGTAAACTATTTCACCCCAAGTTATTATATGTGAACGAGAAGAAAATATGTGCCCACAAATTTTTTCTTCCATGAAAAAAGTTGGAAGGGATTTAAAATTTACAAATTTAAAGAAACAATCCAGTTATTAATGAAATTTTGTTCCTTTCACTTATCCCGCTTTCAATATGCATGGTCAATTAAAGCTAGAGAACTGAAGCTGAATTGTTTTGACACTATATAATTAATATGTGCAACAGGCATTTCTTATAAGTGATAAATTTAAACTTCAAAAAGAGTCTATCAAAGATTACATTTCATTTAATGCTCCACCTAGGATAGAAAGGGGAATTATGTTTCAAATATGTGTGTCTCTCTCTCTGTCCTTTAATTTTTACTGTTTATGCATCATGTATCAGATTTAAATTTAAGGCTAAAGTAATTTACCATGAAGTTGTGGTCACATCAACTTATTAGTGAACTTAATAAACAAAAATTAGGGTTTTGACTCAGATTTCTTAGTTCACTGAACATGCAAAGCTGATAATGTGAGTTGGGCATGGTGTCCTATGGACACATATTTTTGTTTTTCTCTGTAGGTGCCCAGACAGTCTTGACTGTCCTGTTCCTGAGTATTTGTTAGTTTCATGCTGTGTTTGGTTCAGTTCTTGACTTGGTCAGACAGACCAATGATAATTCAATTTGATCTGCCTTTTCTTTAGGCATGCATCTTGAACTTTTTATTTTAGTAAAATATTTGTTGATCAATAATTTTGATCAACCAAAAGTCTATGTGCACAGTTAATACCAGAGAATTTGAAATGTAAATTAAGACATTTTAACCCCTGTTTTAGAAAGCATCAATGATATGCTGTTAATTCTGATGTAAATCTTAGTTTATGTAAATTTCTAACCTTCTTGATGTCTCTTTTTCAAATTTCCAATCAAATTGGAATGTAACATTTAAAATAGTTGTTTCCTAACTTAATGGTAATAATTAAAAATTACATATCTCCTTCTCTCCATTGGTTTTCTAAGGAGAAAATAAGTAGAAATATATGGGAAGGGCAATAACTCCTGTCAAATTATAAGTCCTGCTTCCAGAATATATTTTGGAGAGGCTACATTCTCTTGTAAAACCAAACAAAAAAAATAATCAATAAAAAAAAGTGAACTTTTTAGATCTTCATCAATGAGTATATGATATATTGTTGCCTAGATACTTAAAATTATCAATTGATAAAATAATTGGCCTTTTTTTATTTCAGATGCAGCAACCTGGAGCAACTAATACAATGGCATCTACTGGCATGGTTACACAGACTTCAAATATGGTACTTTCATTGTTTTAATTTGTTAAATTTTTGATAAAAAATAATAATAGCATCACACAGTTTTTATATGAACAATTTTTATAAAAATATATATAAAGGAATACAAATCTTGCCATAGACATCTATCTATGAGAAAATTACTCAACAAGGCCAGCTTACCAAATATAGTGAAACCTGACTAAACTGGAAACCTGTTAAATCCAAACTTATTCCAAAGCCCCTTTATTTAAACATAGATATATTATGAGCCTGTCTGTAGCAAAAACCTGTCTTAACTGGAACAATTCTGCAGTCCTCAAGGCTTAAGTTAATACATATCACACTGTATTGTAATATAATATTTACTAAATATGTCTTCAATGATTGACTTTGAACTTGAACCAAATGGCTCTAAATCACCTCAGACTAGAAAAGATGTAAATGACCTGGAACAAAACATCAGAAAATATATTTTAATACCAAATTCTAAAGACAGTTACACCCGAGAAGGCTTCAAAACAGACTCTTTTAACATAATTTACATAGTAGCATTTTTTCTGGATTCTTCAAATTTGAGGTCAAGATTGGTGCTGAAACTATCACACTTTAAAATGCCCTTATTTGCTGAATTAAACTTTGAATCTATGTGCAGTTAATGATAAATATTACATAATCTTTAATTGATTGTTGTTCTGAGGATAAAGTATATACTGTAAATTCAGAAATTATTGCGATGTTTTCATTAATGGTAATAATGTGACTGTGTGACTATCACAATAATAACAACTCACATTCTGATATCTGTATGCAGATTTTCCTGATGTCGCAACAATTAATCTTACATTTCAGTCCATTCTTCAAAAATCACAATAATAAATGAATGCAATAATTTCTGAGTTTACAGTAATGTGAGAATATATAGATAACGTAATTTATTATTACAGATTCCACAGGCTGGGAACATGCAACAACTTCAACAACAGGCAATGGTAATTATTGAATATAGATATAGCCTTTAGTAGTTCAATTGCAGTATTAAAATTAATTATTGTTATGCTGTAAGTTAAGGTGGTACATAACACTACAGGGAGATAACTCTGTAAAAATCAGCAGAACGCTTTAATCACGTTCTATTGTTAAGGAAATATTAAGCTTCTCAATGATCAAAATTAGTGTTTGTCAAACTGCTATATAGCCAATGAAATTTTTGCGATAAAGTGTGTGGTTCAAGTTTTTGAAATTTTTATATTTTTGTCAAAGGGTCAAAGTAAATATTTGTCAAAATTTTATGAAAATTGAACGAGCCAAATTAATTTTAGTCAAGGTGTTTGGTACCACCTTAAGCAGAGAACTTTTTTGTGTCAAATTTTGTTACCGGAATCATATCTACTCACATCATGTAAATTTTTCTAATTTAGACATTCACTAATTATTATAGTTCAATGCCTATGTTTATATTTCTTTACCAAAGATAACAGATATGAGTCCGTCAGAATAACAAAACAAAAATAGAAGAAATTTGGTTTGTCTTTCTAAAAACTTTATTGATGCAGTATATACTAAATGGCAATTCACTTCTTTGGTAATGTTTTCTTTCGGTAAGTATAGACGAATTCATATACGCATTGTGTGAAAATAAAAATTATTGTATTGTTTAAATTTGGAAGTGTCTGGGTTTTTTTTTATAGCAGCAAAAGCTCCAGCAAGCAAAGTTACAAGAACAACAGAAACAACAACAGTTGCTAGGTAAGTTGTTGTCTGCTAAAAAATCAATGTGCAGTGTGTTTTATTATATTGAAATTAATATTTTATTGTTTATGCTTCATTTTAACTTCTGTTTTTTAAGATGTGTTAGAATAAATTTTGGAATGAGCTTTGACAATTTTCTATTTATATTTTATGTCAAAATGTTTATTAGCCCAGCTTGTCTAAAAGGCCATGTTATCAAATACCATTATTTGGTACCCATTGTATAAACATTTAAACAGTCCATTTTTGTGGGTAAAATTATGTTCTACTTAGCAGAAACAATGTGTGGAAGGTCATATACATACAATCCTCATTTTGCTCGAATGAGTTTTGAAAATTTTGAAAATTCTTTTCTGAACTTGAAAAACTAAATCTTTTCAAAGTTAATTTTATGCATGGCCTCTATACTCTATAGACTCTTCATGTCATGCTTATTATGTGGAATTCATGGCAGCAATCATGGTACATACTTTAGCATTGACCTTTAGGAGAATCACATTTTATTTCTGACAATACCTTGCCCCTCGAACTCAAACTTTAATATTAGGAGTAAGGTATGGATGGGCCTTCATTTTTAATAAATCCTCTTTCATTTTGATTGGGAAAAAAACCTGAATTCTTATCAAATCTTCTTATCTGAAACTACAAAACCATAACCATTTAAACTATACAGGAGTATTGGTCGAGGACCAGTTACCATCAGTTACCAGTTACTATCACCTGCCATTTTATTCAATAACGGAAGAATTGCGTAAACAACAAACTGTTCATGTCTGATTGTAACTGGTCGTCAAGCAATACGGTTAGAGTATTCCCTTTGCAAATATTTCTCACTCAGAGTCACTCATTGCTGATCTGGAGGAGTATTTGGCAGCAATAAACCTGTTGATACTAAATAGATTCCCACTGTACATTAACAATCTATAATACATAGGTCTGATAAGCAATACACACTCCCTATTGTCTTCAATTTACACATATTTGAAGTTGTTAAAACACTTTTAATTGTATATTGCTGTCAGTCCAAGCTATGGAACTAAGTGATTTTCTATTGAAATATATCAGTTATTTGATCACAATGACACAGTATTCCTTCAAAATTAAATATCTTTTGTTACAAACCAAATTATTTGAAATATTTTTTTCATTATTGGTTTGTAGAGTGCTGTATAAATAGAGATACTATTAGAAATTAATGATTTGATAGAGGGTCAATGGGCAAATGTCTTTTTTTCCCCTATTATTTAATTTTTTTATGAGCTTTTGATTTCAAATGTTAGACACCTTTCTCTTTTCTTCAACCCATAGAGATATTCAGTGTTTTATTTTCATTTATAAAACAGTAGTATTTACGTTACATAACAACTATTTTTAGAATCCATCTTCTTTAACATTTTCTCTTATTTCCTGCTGTATCCTTTTAGATGAGATATATTTTGGTCCACCGCCAAATATGTATAGTGGTAGGTACATTGTCGCTATGGTGATGGCAATCCCATGATGCATGGCAAGCATCCCATACTATGCTAAATGGATGGTGCATGACATTTTATTTCAGGTCATTTAAAAAATACAATCAAATTGAAGATATGGCTTTTGGATGAGGAAATTGTATCGTATAATTACTTTCTTTCTTCTGTTAATTCTAAATATAGGGGACATTGGTTAATTATTATAGTTAGTTGGGTTCTTTTCTATGTATGCTAATGTGAATTAAACGAACGATAAACCAGGTTCTTTACTTATATGCTAATGTGAATTAAACAAATGATAAACCAGGTTCTTTTCTATGTATGCTAATGTGAATTTAACAAATGATAAGCCAGGTTCTATACTGTGTATGCTTATGTTAATTAAACAAATGATAAACCAGGTTCTTTTCTTTTCTATGTATGCTAATGTGAATTAAACAAATGATAAGCCAGGTTCTTTACTGTGTATGCTAATGTGAATTAAACAAAGGATAAACCAGGTTCTTTACTGTATATGCTAATGTGAATTAAACAAATGATAAACCAGGTTCTTTACTGTGTATGCTAATGTGAATTAAACAAATGATAAATCAGGTTCTTTACTGTGTATGCTAATGTGAATTAAACAAAGGATAAACCAGGTTCTTTACTGTGCATGCTAATGTGAATTAAACAAATGATAAACCAGGTTCTTTACTGTGTATGCTAATGTGAATTAAACAAATGATAAATCAGGTTCTTTACTGTGTATGCTAATGTGAATTAAACAAAGGATAAACCAGGTTCTTTACTGTGTATGCTAATGTGAATTAAACAAATGATAAACTATCTTCAATAAACTGTTGTCCTGTTACACAAAGATAAATTGTTTTCCTTTTATAATTTTCATATTAAAATCAATTCGTGAATAAAACCATTAGAACCTCAAAGTGAGAACAATTGGGATTCAGTTCTATTAGTCCTTTGGTCTTTGGTAAATAGAATAAATTTTGTGGAAGAAATGGGTCTATTTATTTGTTCAAAATGGAAGATCTTGTAGAAATTTTTTTTCAACTTAACTATGTCTGCTGCACTTTTTTCTACGAGAGACAGAACTTCTTTCAATTCCAATCCTTTTGAATATGTGATATCAATAAATTTGTAAATGTGATCTTATCATGCTGTAAGGAATATCAGGATTTTTAAACCATAAAAGAAGGCATAATTTGAAAAGAAAGGAACTATATTCTGGTACATAAACAAATATTAAATCTCCTACTGTTTTCTTTCTGTCACTGTTATATACAGTATATAACATATTTTTAATACACACAGGGAACAAACAATTATCATTGATTTTTATTTACAAAACATGAAGTCAATAGGTGGTAGCTATTTTTGGACATCAGTTTATTGTATCCTCTGCATAAGCTATTGGAACATGTTATCAAAAGTCTGTATAAAATGGTTTCAGAATGTATATAACTATAATTATAATTATTCCAGTATGTTTTACTTTGCAATATAAGGACCCAGTTGGTTGTATTTGAACATAAGTTATGGTCTGTAACTAAAAAAAATGTAGACAAACAAATAACATTATGATTGAATTTAATCTAATGCAATACTGTTTGTAACATTCATTTTCATTGGATAACACCTCAAATGTCAGTGGATCAATTAAATGAGTGATGGTTTGAAATTGTTTGCATCAGCTCAGATGTTATGTAAATGGTTTTGAAGTATTGTATTTGAAGAATTGCAGGCATCAATTTTTTATTTGATTGTAGCAAGTATCTGTGGAAATATCGTCAATTAACCGAATTTGCTGCCGTGAAGTCATCAATTGATGCCCTTAAATCTTCAAACCCAAAACTTTTATCTCTAAAATATATACACAACCTTGCTTGAAGCTAAGATGTTTAGCATGTTTAGGAGGCCCTTAAACCTTAAAATCTTTGAAGTTACAAGTATCAAAAATCAAGTTTGATTAAAAGCAAATGCTTTTCAATGATATGGTGTGACAAGCAAAACTATCTGTCTTTTATCCAAGAATTAACAGTGAAGATTTGAATAAATTTTAATTTTTACTGGTGACTTGTTTATTTTATAACAACTTAAATATATGATAATCTGTTATTCTATTACTTTATTGTTAGATATAATGGAGATAGTAATTTCAGGGAGGCTTATTTCTTAATTAATTTTTAAACTAAACCCTCAATTTTGAAATTATTTCACAATGTTGGGAAGCATCTCAAGAAATTTTAAAATCACCACTTTTCTGCCATTACAAAAATATTTGATTTTGGTTCAAATCTAAAAAAACAAATTGTCACATACTCTATTTAGACCATGAATTGAATTTTATAAGCAGAAGTATTTACTAACAATGTTTGAAAATTAAAGATAAAGATCCATGAATTTTACAGTAAGCAGTCAGTAATGAATTTAATATATCTTTGTTTGCTCTCTGTCTCACAGGCATGAATCATATGTGGTTTCTGTCTGTACTTAGATCATTACAGAATTACTTAGACTTGCATATATATATATATATGTGTTGTATTTGAATCAGCTTTAGGTCATCTGCAAACGTGTTGTAAACTATAGCACTCTTATGTTGAGTCTGTAGAATTTTTGCATTTCTTTGAAAAATTAAAAAAAATATCAAGTCATACATTTAAAAAAGATTATGGAATTGAAAAACTTTTATATCAAAAGTAATTATTTTAATACCTTATCTTTAAAGCTCACTATAATATTCAAGTTATTTTCAATTTTCAACAAAAGATTTTTTTTAAATCTATAAACATTTATATGAATAATACATGTCTTGTTCTATAGTTATTTGGATTATATGTTTGGTGGTTTTCATTATATCCCCATATTGCAATTACCTTCTCCAATTATTTTTCGTTGCACTTTTCTTAGGAAATAAATGAACAGAATGACTTCATATTTGGTCCACAACTTGACAGTGATAAGTTATAATTGTGAGTGGTTTTCAGTTATATAAGCCACTTACATCCTGTTTGCTGATACTTTGAATATTCAATGTATTGAATGAAAGCAAATATTTTCATCACAGTATTCCAAGGAATTAATAGATTGTAACTTCATATTTGGTCAGTAGCCTGATAGTGATGAGTTGTAACATCAGCGCTTTTTCAGATCCGTCAAACACAAAATTTCTGTTTGCCGATACTTTGGATGATTAATATGTTAAATGAAAACAATTATGTCAGTCACACTTTTCTCCAGAACTACTTAAAGCAATGAATTTTTATTTGGTCAACAGCTTGAAAGTGTTGAGTTGAAACTTGTGAGTGCTTTTCAATTTTGCCAGTCATCTTCCTGTTTCTGATAGTTTGAATTAAAATGGGGTATGCTTAGCTCGACAACTACTAGTACTAGTGCAAAATCTTGTTTTGACACACATAGTAAAAGTACTTTAATAAGATAAGTTTATAAATTAAGATGATGAAAAATAACATTTCTTTGAAGTAATCCCACAATATCTTTTAGTATATTCAAGTACAATAGCTGTTTTCCAAAATAGAAGTATTTGATGTATATCAAGGATATCAATGTATCAAAATGATTTCGAAACAAAATTCAGATTTTAATTTAAGAGTTAAAAAGATTAGTTTTATATAAATGTCTGGAATGTTTCATATTTTTCTCTTGTTTTTGAACATTGAATAGTTTAAAAAAAAAAAAGGTTTAAAACTATATCTTCAATTTTGTATAAAAACATATCATAAATTTCCATAATTTTGTTAAACATTTATGAGTTCATCAAACTGTCTTCCTTGTTTTCCAGCACAACAAAGACTTCATCAACAAAGATTACAGCTTCAGCAGCAGCAGCAACAACAGCAACAAGCAAATCAACAACAAGTCAGTAATCATCAACTTCAACAACTTTTGCTTAGTCAACAGGTAAATACCAACAACATAAGGCAATCAATAAAAACAATATTGTTGTTATTAACTACACAACAATTGTTTAGAAAACAAGTAAAACATAAATTTTAACACCTCCACAAGTCAGTAATCAACAACTAAAACAACTACTGCTTTGTCAACAGGTAAGTAAGATCAAGAACCAATCAACAGTTCAGTAATCATCAAATGAAACAAGTAATCCTAAGGCAAATGGTATTGAGGCAAGTAACAACAGCATGTGTCAATCAATGTCAGTAATCATCACTTACATCAACGTGTGCTTAGTCAACAGGTATTTGGGATAAATAACAACAAGAGATTATCATCAAATTGATGATTATCAATTACAACACTACTGCTTAATCAACAGATAAGTTACAACAACCTCAGCCAATCAACAAGTCATTAATACTCAACTACATCAACTACTGCTAAGTCAACTGAAACTGATAAGTAAAAACAACATAAGCCAATCAACAAGTCAGTAATACACTACAACAACTGCTGCTTAGGGAACTTATAAGTAACAACATTAACCAATCAACAGTTCAGTAATTAACTACAACAACTGCTGCCTAGTCAACAAGTAAGTAACAGTATTAACTAATCAACAGCTTAGTAATCAACTACATCAACTGCTGCTTAGTCAAAAGGTAAGTAGCAACATTAACCAATCAATAGCTCAGTAATCAACTACAACAACTGCTGCTTAGTCAAAAGGTAAGTAGCAACATTAACCAATCAACAGCTCAGTAATCAACTACAACAACTGCTGCTTAGTCAAAAGGTAAGTAGCAACATTAACCAATCAACAGCTCAGTAATCAACTACAACAACTGCTGCTTAGTCAAAAGTTAAGTAGCAACATTAACCAATCAATAGCTCAGTAATCAACTACAACAACTGCTGCTTAGTCAAAAGATAAGTAATGACAACTAGAGTTAATAAAAATATTAGTAATCATCAGCTACAGCAACTATTTCTTAGTCAAAAGGTATACAAGTAAGTAACAACAAGAGCCTATCAACAAGTCAGTTATCATCAACTACACCAACTATTCCTTAGTCAAAAATTCTTCAGGTAAGTAACAACAAGAACCAATCAACAAGCCAGTTATCGGCTACATCTACTTCTTATTCAACACGCAAGTTACAGCTGCTTTATGTGTGGATGTTTAAGTTATAATTATACCCTTGCTAGGAGATGATTAGAGTTATTAAGATTTTCAATTTGATATTTGATTATTACAGCAACAAGGCCAACAGATTCGACAGCCACAGATGATGATGCAGCAACAGCTTCGAGGACCCAATCCTCAGGGACAACAGAATGTGATGGGAGGGGGACAACAGATGATGCCTAATACAATGCAGATGTCTCAGCAAGGACAGGTCATGGGTCAAGGTCAATCAAATATATTAGACAGTTTCGATTTCAATGATATAATGTAGAGACTTGTTTTCTGTTATTATGGAAGAAGAAAATATTCAGAATGAGATTACATATCTTGTTGAGTAGAAGTGCAATTTGACATTTTTCACAAAAGATTTTATAATGACCAAGAAAATAAATGTTTTGTCATTTTACAGATTTGTGCAGGTATTTAATATTTATTTGTATGACATTTTTATCAGATATCAAGTATTGCCTTAGAACAACAATGCTTTATTAATTAGTGATATTGTTATAGGTGATCTGTAAAATTATCTGGATGACATTTTCTAGATATACCAGATAATTGGTCTTGTAGCTCTTTTCAGAAAAAATATGAGATGAAAAAAGACTTGGTATGATATAACTTACATTTAATATAAATGATGTAATTTTTTTGTGAAAAGATGCTGCATCTCCAAAGGGGAAGCAGAACGATGAGTTGTAATACAATATAAAGCCAAAGAAAAGTCACCAGTTATTAATTTATAGTTTTGCCTGACAGCCAAGCTGTTACCCTATATAGGGATCACTTCTGTTGTCATGTTTCATTGTCTTGTTTCACACTTTATTTCAATCATCAACAACTTGAAAATGGCTTGACAGAATTCTACCAAACTTGCAAGAATTTTCTACAGGACATAACATAATGTTGTGTACCAGCTATTTTAATTTTTGATTTGAATGATTTTTGTGGTTTTCGTGGCGACATTGAAGACCATTTCTACTAATATTATATGGAGACACATGTGTTCTTTGAAGGACCTGCACATTTTATTGTAAATATATTTTCATGAAAATTTTTGACCCTACCATTCTTGTGATATGGTCTGGATGTAATAATACAATGGACATGCAATGTTTATTCAAGGATGAAATGGAATTTTTTACTTATACTTTCTGTGTTAAATTAAAGGACCAAAAATTAAAATTGTCTCTATTAAAAAGAATACGACTGAATTCTAATTCATATTCCTGTCCTTTTTTATCATTCATAGATTGTTATTAATCCTATGTTGTATTTTCCAAAAGTGCTGAAACAATTCCAAACATTCTGTTAAAATATGCTGAACTATTTATTATTATTTATTATTTTGTAACACCTTTCATAAGAATTGTACATTTTTATTATAGCTCATTACAGACAAAAATCATTGTTTAATCATATTCATCTCATTTTTAATCATTATTACAAGGAATTGTGTATGTTTAAACATTTCCTCCATATTTTATCTTGCCACAGTTACTGACATTTATTTTGTACACCCACCTTGTTCTTAAAAAGATTGCAATATTTGTTTACAAATGTAGATTAAGTTATGATGCACATAAAGTGCAAGTATTCAAGATAATGTTGTCTTATTAGATAATCATATGATCAATGATTTAATTTGTCAGTTCATATGTCAACTCTGTATTTTGTCAGTTTACATTGTCAACTCTGTATTTTGTCAGTTTACATTGTCAACTCTGTATTTTGTCAGTTTACATTGTCAACTCTGTATTTTGTCAGTATACATTGTCAACACTGTGTTGTTTCAGCTGACATTGTTAAAACAGTATTTTTTCAGTTGACAAGAGTACACACAGTACATTTTGTATACATTTGTACATGTTATTTATGTCATCTCATGCAGTTGTTTTATATTGTTGATTGCTATATTTGTTAAAGTGCTTTAAATTAAACTTGTTGTACATTTGAACAATTAAATTTGTTAGCTTTTATTTCTGAATCAGTGTTTTATTTTTTTAGTGCATATAACACATAGAAGCAATATTCCTGTAGTTTATAAGGTTCTACCTATATATAGGTTTATTTGAAATACTTTCTTCATATAAAGAACCTTTGAAACAGTTATTCCACCTAAGGGTAGCCGCATACATAGGACATTTTTAAATATATTTCCTCAAAACAAGATGTATACGCAATAATGTGATATTGGAACAACATATATAAAAATATCAAAATTCGTTGATTAGAACATATAAAACAAGACTAAATATTCATTCTTTTTCATTTCCTATTTGAAAATTTTTTTTAGTCCCCTACCGACGAAGTCAAAGGGGACTTTAGGTTTGCACTCCGTCCGTCTGTCTGTCTGTCCGTCTGTCTGTCCATCTGTCAGTCCGGCAAATCAGTTTTCCAGACTTTTTTTCTTCGTGCTTGAAGATATTGATTTGATATTTGGTGTATTGATTTATCATGACAAGTTACAGGTCAAGTTCAATTTTCACAGTTTTAGATTTTCTCTTTGTTCAGTTAAAGCCCTTTCCCTAGAATTAAGTTTTTGATGAAATACTTATTAATTAGTAGATTTCTGTTCAAAGGGAAATAACTCATTTTTTAAAAGACTTTTAAAAGACAAAATGACATTTGGATTTTTTTCCTTTTCTTTGGTAAATTGTTTGAAGAATTTAGTGGTAGGTTTGTTCGTCATTCTTGAAAATATTGATTTGATAATTAGTATATAGTTTTATCATGACAAGTTACAGATCAAGTTGGAATTTTGTTCCAGTCTGATAATTTTGTGCAGAGTTATGGTCTTTGGACATAGAGAATTCACTTAAATAATCAGTTTTCAACAGTTTTATTCATCATGATTGAAGATTTTGACTTGATATTTTTGTGTAGTTTACACCATGACAAGTTATAGATCAAGTTAGAATTTCGTTCCATTACAATGAATTTGTAACCGGTAGGGAACTATGTATTGCCATGCAATACTCACAGAATGCTTGTTATTTTTCGATGTAGTATCTGCAGCTTTGATGCCTTTGAGTTAGACATTTTTAAAAAGCCTTATTTTCTTATTAACTCTTTCAACACTTTATATACCCTTCCCTTTTCACGAATGTGACCTACCGAATTAGACTATTTACCGGATTTGTAATAACATAAGCAACACGACGGGTGCCACATGTGGAGCATGATCTGCTTACCCTTCTGGAGCACCTGAGATCACCCCCAGTTTTTGGCGGGGTTCGTGTTGCTTAGTCTTTAGTTTTCTATGTTGTGTCATCTGTACTATTATTTGTCTGTTTGTCTTTTTGTTTTTGGCCATGGTGTTGTCAGTTTGTTTTGGATCTATGAGTTTGACTGTCCCTCTGGTATCTTTCGTCCCTCTTTTATAGAAAAACACCAATTGCATTGCCTTGATCAAAACTCTTCAATAGTATATCAAGAAAAACAGAGCAAAGTACATGGTCATCTTACTACTTAATTCAGCATTCAGAATAAAATACCAGATAGCAACATTTCCTGTGGGCTAAGTAACAACGAGAACACGACAAATAATTACGAACTGTTTATATCCAGACAGTATCTATATAAGATAAATAATCAAGACATAGATTCTGACTGGCTCAATGGCCAATTTAGATATGTTATTTGTAGTGTTTAACTAGAGGACAAAAGTTTCCATCTGACAGTCTAATTCAAAGCAGCAACTATAATGCATTTTATCATTAGTTTAGAGCAGTTCTGATGATATCTTGGACATGTATCACATCTGATTGTAGTATCTGAGAAATTTGAACTTGTCAAGGTAGTCTTGTGCTCAAATTAAAGTGCAAGAAGTGACACAAAGTGAAAGGTGTCTGACTTAAAAGTAAGTTACCCTAGTTGTTATTAAAGGAATTCCCTTCTAACCTTCTAAGACAGGTTTGACAGTATAAAGCTTTTGAATTATTTCCATCAATGTTTTTAAATTCGTTGTTATTCTTCATGAATGACTTAAATATTAATATAGCTCTTCCTATTCCAGTTATGCATTTTTAATACACAAATTTGTTGTTTTTGTCTCGTCTGTGACAAACGTCTCAGAATGCGAAACAATCCAGAGGCGGCGACTGCATAAAATATTTGTCTAAGCTTTAAATATCAGATGATAGAAGACCTGTATGCTTCATATCGTTTAATATGCAGATACCTTAAGTTACCAAGTTACCGTTTGTCATAAATCCATTGTCTTTCACCTTATTTTCATAGTTCACTGACTGCTCAAAAATGTATAGTTGTTTCGCTCACCTGGCCTAAACGGCCATGTGAGCTTTTGGCATGCCTTTGCGTCTGTCGTATGATGTAAACCTTTTCAAAGATCTGTGAAACCACTGGACCAATTTCAAACAAACTTGGACTGATTGATACTTAGGGTATCTGGTATAAAGTTTGTGTTTTTTATTCTTGTCCATCAAGAAACATGACGGCCATGGCTACAATAGAACATAGGTTTAAAATGCAGTTGTTGGCTTTTATTTCAAAAACAGTAAACTGACATAGGGTAAAACTTGATAAGCATGATAAGATTTATCTACCATGAAATTTTCAGATCAATCAGACAACACTATTTGGAGTTGTTTGGAGATAACCAAATATCAAAATACCGGTAGCACTGTTTTACAAGGTGAACGATACAGGCTCTCGAAAGCCTCTAGTTTGTCATGTGAAAGTCTACATGTCCATCAGACTAGGTTCACCTGACCTTGGACTCATTTAATGGACCAAGGATCAAAGTTTGGTTTTTGTATCTCGGATACTATAAGCAATAGTTCAACGAGAGTTTGTTTTGTGGATGATTGTAAGGTGTACTCGTCAGAGTGGCAGGTATCTACTGATTTTGACCACATTTTTATGTTTCATTGGTTTTGGACTGTTTCTCAGGTACTGTAAGCAATAGTACCACTATATCTGATGTTTGGAATGATTGTAAGGTGTACATGTCTGTTGGGAAGAGATAATATGACTTTGACCTCATTTTCATTGGTCGATATTAAGTGTTTGTGGTTTCGTCTGTTTCTCGGGTACTATAAAAGAGAGGCGAAAGATACCAAAGGGACATTAAAACTCATAAGTCGAAAATAAGCTGACAACGGCATGGATAAAAAAAGGAAAACCCAACAGACAAACAACAGTACACAAAACACAACATAGAAAACTAAGGACTGAGCAATACGAACCCCACCAAAAACTGGTGGTGATCTAAGGTGCTCCGGAAGGGTAAGCAGATCTGGCTCCACATGTGGCACACGTCATGTTGCTCATATTAGTACAAACCCGGTGATAAGTTTCATTCGGTAGGTCACATTCGGGGAAAGTGGACGGAATTGTATTTACGACCATTGGAACATATCTGTAAAACAGATATTCCATAACGGCCAAACACCTCGTGATGGCGTCCGTAAAATTAACGAAAGTTTATAAGCAATTGAACCACCATATTTGGTGTATGAAATGCATGATTGTAAGGTGTACATGTCTTGTCTTTTTGTCATGGTTCATCTTACCCTGACCTCATGTCCATGGATCATTTATAATTTTATGTGTTTGTGACCTAATAGTAAAACCTTCAAATTACAGGCTTTCCATTAGTGGCCTTGGGCTGTTTTCTGCTCTTTGGTCGGGCTGTTGTCTCTTTGACACATTCCCCATTTCCATTCCAATTTTATTTCAAAATAAATTGCACTATGATAAGTAAAGCAGGCGAGACATTTCAGTGTGTGCACTCTTGTTTGTTCTCAATGGGTAATTCTTTAGTTAGAATACAGAATAAAAGTGATTGCTCTATGAACATCCGATCGATCCTTAGGTCAATCAACGGGTGATAAATTGAGGTCTGTTTTGTAAAGTCGCTGAATGTGAAATTGGTGCGTTGCACACTGTACATATGTATTGCTATAGGTATACACAGAAAGACTTGAATTTCAATGTGGTACACAAAGTATTTGAATATCAAAATGTTCATGTGAGAACTACTTTTAATAATACACTATATTTGCCCTATTGCTACTTTTGAATAACGACATGGTTTTTTTCAGTCCACCCCTATTAGTGTACCTGCATCATTACAGCTTTCTGTTACCATACTATTAAGACTGATCCCTCGTATTGATAAACCTGATGACCATTAAAGGCAGTTTCAGTAAATAAAATAGAAAGCAGGAAAAGACGTGATTTTTATTAAAATATCTAGTTAATGTAATGACTCTACCGTTCAATGCTATTCCTGTCAATTTTGATTACATATATAGTTATCTATTATTTTGAATATGTATAAATAAAAAAAAACATTTATTTTTTATTAAACACCAGTTACATCAGATGTCTGTATAGACAATTAATCTTTAACAGGAGACAATGAAACAACCAAGTTGATACCTGTTGCGTGCCACAACATCGATCATGACACAGAAGTTATAAATTATCGGAAATATAGAACGAAAGTTATCATCCTCCATCGAAAATTAATTTAAAAAATGTTGTCGGGTCATTCAAGATGCTTTTTCATCAGATTGTACAAATTTTTGTATTATTAATATAACAAAAGAAATCTGATAAACAAAAGTGCACATGGTGAAATGTCTTATATAAAAATAACAAAATGTGGTATGATTGCCAATGAGACAACTATCCACCAGAGTTCAAATGAAGTGGATGTAAGCAATCATAGGCAACCGTACGGCCTTCAACAATGAGAAAAACCCATACCGTATAGTCGGCTATAAACGGTCCCGATATGAAAAATATGAAACAATTTAATTGAGAAAACTAACGGCCTAATTTATAACAAAACAATTTACGAAAAACAAATATGACAGACATGAACCAACGACACCCACGCAACTACAGTCTCCTGACTTTAGACAGGCACATAAAGAATGTGTCGGGTTTAAACATGTTTGTGAGCGCTCATCCCTCCCCCTAACCTGGGACAGTTGTTTAACAGCACAACATAAG